AAAATGTCCAAAAGTTCAACTTACAGCTCCAGTCCTTTTAGAGTTCACTCCTTCAGGGGGGAGAGGGGCAGGGAGGGAGATGAGGGTGAGGTAAGATGAAGGGGGAAAAGGGGGTGTTAGTGTATAAGCGGGTTGGAGGTCGAGCCCTGGTTCTGGTGCGTAAAATAGTCAGAGAGACCCCCGGAAAGTCCCGAGGAGAAGGCCGGCAGAGAGGCGGACAGGGCCGGCCTCAGAGAGTCACAGGGCAGCGCGGAGGAGGACGGAGCCTGCGGGGAGTTGGAGGCCGAAGCCCGGGCGGCCTGCAACGATCCGCCGCCGCCGCCGCTCTGCGCGCTCATGGAGGGGTGGGGGACGTGGGGGAAAAAGTAACTGGTCTGCCCGGCCAGCAGGTTGACCGAGCACGGGTTCAGGGAGTACGTGCCCCCGGAACAAGGCACAGAGAGGCCGCAGGGCACCGCCGAGGCCGCCAGGGCCGCCGCCGTCAGGTGGTGCGTGGCGTACGGCAGGTCCGAGCCGACCAGCCGGTCCATGCTGAGCCCGTTCGAGGACGGGAACGACGAGTGGTTGTTGCCCATGTTCTGGGTGAGCATGGTGCTGTAGGACATGGGGTGAGCCGGGTAGCCCGACGAGGTCCCGTTGTAGCCCAGGGCGCCGCTGGCCCGCGGGTGGTGCAGGGAGAGGAAGGGGGACATGGGCCAGTACAGGGAGCCGGCCCGGTCCATAAAGGTCAGGCCGGAGGTCAGCCGCGCGCCCCGCTTGAAGGCCAGCTTGGCCCGGGAGGTGGTGGACCTCCGCCGGAGCTTGCCGGTGGTCCCGCCGATGAAGACGTCGTCGCTGCTGGGGTCCAGCATCCAGTAGTTCCCCTTCCCCGGGTCGTCGTAGTGCCGCGGCACCTTGACGAAGCACTTATTGAGGCTGAGGTTGTGCCGGATGGAGTTCTGCCAGCCCTGCTTGTTCTCCCGGTAGTAGGGGAAGTTCTTCATGATGAACTCGTAGATGCCGTTCAGGGTGAGCCGCTTCTCCGGACTCTGCCGGATCGCCATCATGATGAGCGCGTTGTAGCTGAAAGGAGGTTTTTCGTACTTGCCGCTCTTCTTCTCTCCCTCCTTCCCTCCGCTGTCTCCTTCTTTCCCGTCCTTCTTCTCCTCCTGCTTCTCCTTCTCCTCCGGGGAGCTCTCCTGGCCCGTCGACTCACTTTTCGGCTCCGGCTTCCCTTCCTGCTGCGCGGCCGGGAGCGGAGCTTTCTGCTCGGCGTCGTCCGCTCCTCCAGGCCGGTGGAGGTGGTTCTGGTGGAGGTTCTGGTGGTGGTGGTGCTGCTGCTGCTGGTTCTGGTGGTTGTTGTTGTCGCTTTGCACGGCCTCGGGCACCAAACTGTTTATACTGAACGACGATTTCGGAATCATTTTCACCTCTTTGCGCTCTCCCATATCCAACATCACCGGCTCTGATGGGGGGAAAATGGCAACGAGCAAAAGCGACACACACAGCTGGGTCTCAATCTGTCCGGACTCTGCCTGCGAACCAGGACGGGAAGGAAGGAAGGGGGGACGATAGGAAGAAAGAAAGTATAGCCCAACAAACTATTTCATGTTCGGTTTGGGGAGAAAAAAGGAAACACACACACACACACAACACACATGTACACACACATCGATAGGAGACAGATAGCTGCAATTAATTAGGGAGCCGCAGCCACTAAAGCAAGTAAAAAACATTGGTTGGACCTTTCCAGTCCTCAGCCAACCAGGGGAACATTAGTATTAAATATTAAGGCGTCCTCTGCGCTCTCAGCCAATCATGACGCACAGGGAAACACACACATCCACCAATGCCGTGCACGCTGCAAAAAGTAGCAGCAGCGTGAGACTTCGAGGTCTGATTGGAGCGTCGAGAAACTTCAGTTTGATCCAAACGGTTCCGAGAAAATCTCACAGTTTGGCTTCGATCTTCAGCGCTTCGGGTTCAGGTCTGAGTCTGAGGAGTTCAGCCTCATTTGAGTGATTCTGTTTTTGTCTAAAAGTCTTTTTTTTTTTAAAGTTTTATCCTGCTGAATGTCAAATGTCTGTTTCCGCGGATGAAGTTCTTTATTTTCGGAGCTGCTGTGAACACACACTCAGAGCAGCGCCGCCTCTCACACGCCCTAAACGAGGCTCCGACACGGACACTTTTTACAGCGTGGAAAACACACTCACCCCTATCAACACTCCTCACCCCTCCCCTCCCCCTGTTCCCTCCCCCCTCCACCTAAACTAAAGCCGTCGCTGGAAAACACACACCGTGCATGCGTACACCCAAATCCCCGCCGCTCCTCATATTTACACTCAAATATTTTCCCCTTCGGCTTCTTCCAAACTGTTTACATCCAACTCTCAGGGAAAATAAACAGGGAGAGGGGATCCGGAGGGCACGCGGACACGGTCAGGACACGCGGAGGTGATTTAGTGTGTGTGTTGGTTGCCGATCGCGCGCAGACCTGCAGACGTTCCGGGCTGTTTCTCCATGCGTAAAATGCGCGTAAAGTGTGCGTAAACACGGTGCCATGTCAGCCCGGCGGCTCGCGGGAAGGTTTGGAGTTTGAGGAGAGTCAGGAGGAGAAATGTGACAACAAAACAGAGAGAGGAGAGAGGAGAGGAGAGAGGAGAGGAGAGAAGGAGAGGAGGAATGAGAGGAGGAATGAGAGGGAGCACGAGGCCGCGAGGAGAAGGAGAAGAAAGAGAGAATTAAAACCAAACATCAAATTTTTATCCACGAAAATATGAGCTTCTATTTTTATAGGCTATTAAAGATTTTCTAGTATTTTTTAAGTTTCATTTGACTTCATAAAAACTAGATTTCTGAAGGTGAAATTGACTGAAAATGAACTCGAGCTGAGAGTGAAGAAGAATTCCTGAGATACTGAGAGTAAAAACATCACTGCGACTCAAACTGATGAAAACACACAGAGAGATGAACATTAAAATACAGTTAAGTGTTATTTTCAGAGGCTTTTAAATCTGTTTCAGGTTGTTAGTTAATTCCACATTAATTTAAGCAGGTAAAAGTGTTCAGTGTTTATTTTCTGATTCAGAAAATATTCCTTTTTTCTCCTCTGAAGATATTTCTGCAGTTTTTTGAGGATCATCTGTGAATATCTCAGAGTTTACCTGCATCAACATAAATATAAAATAAACTGTTTTATTGTTTGTCTGTTGGAGATAAAGAGCTCTGAAAATCCTTCCCTCCTTTAAACTCGGATTCACTCTCAGACTCTAATTTTAGACGATGTTTCTGTTCAGTCATCGATGATTTACTACAAATCTATTATTAGCGTTAACTGCTGCTAACAGCCTGAGTACAGCAGCAGTGAGATTTTCTACCACGTGACCAGGCGGGCTGTAAACATGTGAGCACAAATAATAAACAGACGAGGCGGAGAGGAGCTGGAACTGAGGGACTGAGGGGGTCCAGAGGTTTGGACCGAGGGGGGAACCTGGAGTCCAGACCTGATAAAGTATCAGTACTACTGAGGATACTGTTACTGATAAAACCTATAAATGTGAAGTTAAAATCACTTCATAACAAACTTTAATTCTCAGAAAAATCCTCCTGTGAATCTGATAAAATCAACATTAAAGAGTTTAAATCCACATTAAACTCTTTAAAACTTTTGCATTTTAAAAAATAAACTTTAATTCAGACTTTAAATAAGTCTAAAGAGAGTCTTTAAAAACGGAAACGTTAGGTTTTAATTTCATCGATTCACGGTTTAAACTCTGAAGGAGAAAATTTAAAACTCTGACATGAGTAAAAATTAAAACTCTAGAATAAATTTTTAGATTTCTGTGAGTTTTAATAATTAAAATTATTCAGAATTCTTTCAACAAAAACAGAAAAAAGTGAAATTTCTGCGTAAAGTTTCCAAAAACAATCCAGAATCGTCTCCTCCCTTAAATCTAAAAATTCCTCTCAGTTAATCGGACTAAAAGCGAACTAAATGAAGTTTGACCCTCCAGATAAAATGATCCTTTCATGTTAAACTCGGACCCGGAGCAGCAGCAGCAGCAGCAGCAGACCCGCTCGGACTCTCCTGGTTTCTTTTTACGCGCAGAGTCCGGATCGTCAGACTGAGACTGAGCCGCTCAGATTCAGTCACATGTTCAACCTGCTGCTTCATATTTAAGAAAACTACAACTGTGTAAAAATCATCAGACTCAGACAAAAACAGCTCAATCCTGGACTTCACATCCAAACACTCAGAGGTTTGGTTTCAGTTTTCAGACTTTTTTCATCCTCAGTGTAACAAAGACACCAGAAACTGCTGCAGCTGAGGAGGAGAGATACTGAAAACATCTGAATTAACACGAAAATCTAATTTAGGAAAAATCCAGTTCAGCTTTTTCCTCTTTAATGTGTCTGTTTGATCAATCTGAAGAGATTTATTTTGACGTTTTTGGTTGAATTTATCATTAAAAATCCTCAGAATGAAAAAAACATTTGAACATGTCTTCTTGTTTGTTTTTAATTTCACGTAATTGAACCAAAAATCCTGAAATATGAGCTTCGATCTGACTTTAGTGCCGTAATTTTGAGGGGAAACGACGAAATACGAGCTAAAAGAGAAAGTTTTGATGGAGAATCATTTTATTTTGTCAAATTATAAAAGAAAATAATGTTTTTGAATATCATGAAGAACAAAATCCTTGTCGGAGTTTTTCGTCACATTTCGTGGCCTTCATCAGCAAACCGATCGCTCAAAAATCGGCGAAAAAACACCCGATTAAAATGAATTAATCGTATCGTATATTCCCATTAAACTTTAATGTTTTGCTTTATTTTCCCTTTTGTTTAATTTGTGTTGATTTCTTCTTGGTTGAGGTTGAACTTTAACTGGATGTTTGTTTGTCGGATTTTCTGTGAGACTCCGTGAACTCAGCACGCCGCTTGTTTGTTGTTGTTGTTGTTGTTGTTGGTTTGCTTACAGAAGCTGGAGATGTGAGTTTGGACTGTTCCCTCCGCTCTGTATGTTTCTGCTGCTGCCTGTGTGTCACTGCTGTGTCGCCCTGTTGTGTCCGTGTGTGTGTGAGGAGGAGGAGGAGGAGGAGGAGGAGGAGGAGGAGGAGGAGGAGAAAGGAACCTCCATCAGCCTCAGAGAGGAAAAAAAAACTGAAACAAGCGTCTGTTTCAGGTCTGAAGGAGAAAGATTTGTGTGGAATAAACCTTTAAAATCAGAATCAGCAGGTGGATCCACTGAAGAAGAAGAAGAAGAAGAAGAAGAAGAAGAAGAAGAAGAAATGTAGAAGGAGGGAATTTTCCGGGGCCTCAAACAAACCAGACTCTTGGATCAGTCTGAGCTCAGCCGGCCTGTCAGATTACTCTGATCGAGGGTCTCTGGAGCCAAACAAAACCAAACCCCATTCACTTTCTCATCAATTTAAAGCCGACCAACAAAGACTTAAACACCAACCCAAACACGCCGCTAAACTCCATAATCACAAATTCCCAGTTTGACCTCTTTGACTCTTTAGCTGCTCGGCTAAAAGTGGATTTCAGTCAAACCAAACCCCAGTCACTTTTCAAGGATTTAACAGCATATTTAGAAAAGATTTTGACCTCTAACAGAGAAAGATTGTGATCTAAATGACTAGTGTTAAAGTAACAGAGTAATAAATACCAACCAAACCCCACTCATTTTTATCCTGATTTTAAAACAGTGGAGGAAAAGGGCTGTTAAATCTACAGTTAGATCTACATATCAAAGAGAGAATAACAGGAATTATTCTTCTTAATCTGAATTTTAAAATTTTATCTTTAAAAAAATCTTAAGTTCTCTTAAGTTCTGAAGTACAACAGAGGCAGAGGATGACAATTATGGGGTCACACCAAACCCCAGTCACTTTTTTAAGGATTTTATAGAAACTCAGTTAAGACTCTGACCTCTAACAAAGAGAGAGAGAGAGTCTGACCCAAATGTCTAGTATCAAGGTAATAGAGTAATAAACACCAACCAAACCCCACTCATTTTTATGCTGATTTTAAAACAGTGAAAAAAGGGCTGTTAAATTGACAGTTATTCTACTATTCTTCATATTCTGAATTTTATGACTTTATCTTTTTAAATTTTAAGCTCTTTTAAGTTCTGAAGGCAGAAGATGACAGCTATGGGGTCAAACCAAACCAGACCAGAACCACTTCATTTCCTAAGGAGCTTAGTCAAAATCTAAGCTGTCTTCACCCCACTGTGAGGGGTGAAGACTGTTTGACTCAAATCAAACCAAACTCCATTCAGTTTTCCTTCAATTCAAAATACACAGATTACTATCAGGGGAGGTTAAAAGAGCTTCGTTCTGAGTCCACAACTGAACTCTGTTTATTTTAAAAACACGTCCAGACGTAAATCTCAAAGAAATGAAGTCCAAACTTTGTTCCAAACAGAGATCTTCATGTTTAAACTCGAGTGTTTGAACTAAAGTACTTCAAGTTCTGGTTTGTGTCGGATCCAGATGTGAAACGGGCTGTTAGTTTTCACGTCAACAGAACATCTGCTGTTTTTCTTCTTCCATCAAACAGAAACATGAAGGAACATCGAGTCCATCTGTTTCAGCAAAATACCCACCAGAGGAGACGACTGAGGGGCTCGACAGGAGGGTGAACTTAAGTGGCTTTGGGGGTCCTAAGTGCTCTTAAGGAGATACTTCAAGGTTGAAAATGAGTTCCTTCTACTTCTACTGAGGGGTTCAGAGGTTTAAAAACCCACTTAAAAGGGTTTGTAGAGGGGCCTGAGAACTTCTCCAGAGGTTTCATGGGTTCCTTGGCAGGTATTACAGACTTCTTATGGGTTTAAGTGGTTTTAAGTGGGTTAAAATAAGGTTTAAGGAGTTTTAAGTGGGTTAAAATAAGGTTTAAGGGGTTTTAAGATGTCACAGGGTGCAAAGGGGGAACTTAAAAGTGGGTTTTAAAAGAGTTTGAAAGGGTTTTAGGGGCTCTCATTGGGTGTCATTGAGTTTTAGCGTCTTTTAGGGGTATCCTGAAGTTCTTTAAGTGACTTTAAGTTTAGTAGGTTCATTAGCAGGTCTTTGGGGTTCTCAGTTGAAGGATGCTTTAGGTGGTATTTGGGAGATCTACGGGTTCTTCATGGTAGGGGTTCCAGGGACCCAGGAGTTCTTTCTCTGGCCATATATGAGGACTTTAAAAGAGTTTAAGGGGTCCTTTCAGGTGACTGTGGGGTTCTGATGGGAGGATTTTAGAGGGTCTTTGGGGCGTGTGAAAGTTGAAAAGCAGGTCCACTTGGTTCTCATGAGGTTCTGTAATGGTTCTAGGAGATCTCAGGAGGTCTCAGGGGTTCTTCAGAACATGTCTTTAAACATTTGTGCTCTTCTACAGGATCCTTGGAGTCCCACATGGAAATGAGGAGATTGTGTCATTTTTGGGTTGCTGGGATGTTCTGGTTCTTAAATGGGTTTTTTAAGTGAGTCCATTTAGACGGGGAAAGGTTCTGTAGAGGTTCTAACAACCTGAGGGTCTTTGGGACGGGTCAGGTGGTTGTATTTGTTCTTCAGGTGGATTGTCAAGTCTTCACAAGTTCTTCAAGGGAGAATTGTGGGACTTCAGAGGGTTATTATGAGGATCCTTAAAGGGATATTCCGGCGTAAAATTAATTTAGGGTCAAACACACTTGACTCATTTCTTTAACAAAGAGACTAAACACAACTCACCTACTCTCTTCCAGGAGACGCTTGTTTGTAGAGAGACCTCAGGCCAGTCCATTACAGACTACAGCGGGGTGCCGCAGCTCAAGGAAGAACATTTATGATCACTGTAGCTTTGTCTGTTTTCCTTCATCAAAAAAAGGCCGCTGGGGTTCAGGTTCACTTGGATCTGTGACTCGCTTGAAGGATCAGTCCGGTTTGGGTGTAAAAAAATGATTTATTATTCAAAAAAAGGGAAGAAAACACGTTGATCCGGGTCCAAAACTTTTGTCTTGAACTGAAAAGGAGATTTGATGAAATGAGGTTAAAACAGGATGAATGAATGAATCGGTCAAAAACAGTCAACAGAAAATGATCAGTGCTGACCAAACCCATCGTGAGATTTTAAGTAACCCGCCAAACATCCCAAAACCACACCCCTCAGTGACGTACCGACAGAAATAAAACTTTCAACAAATCTTCATGGAAATACAATCAGACCGAGACGCTAAGACAGAAGAACTACCGCGTCTGTAAAATGATCAATATGATGATTATTACTTCAAGGAAATGATGAAGAGATGATCATAAATGTTCTTCCTTGAGCTGCGGCACCCTGCTGCACTTGGTGATCGACTCATCAGGGCTCCTTAGTTGGTTAAAGCAGTCAGCAACATTCATCTCTGGAGGGGGGGTCTAACTCAGTGTTATGGTGGGTTTGACCCTAAATTAGTTTTACACCAGAATATCCCTTTAAGGGTTTCCTTGGGGGGAATTTTAGGATGTTTACAGGTTCCTCAGGAAGATGTTGAGGTCTTTTAGACTGGGACTAACTTTGGACGTTGGTAGTATAAAGTTTGTTTTTTAAATGTTCGTTAATTTGAATCTCGTCTGTTCCTGATGCTCATTAGTCCGAACCCTGTATGAAGGTTCTGGTCCCTCATCTGGTACCAGAACCTTCATACAGTTTCAGTTGTGACCTTTAACCCCCCTTTCTTAGGCCTTAAAGTACCAAAATGAACCGTTTCTTTCATTCCTTCAACCTGCTCAGGAAACAGAGGGATGAAGGGATGAAGAAATGAAGGGATGAAGGCGGCGTGGTGTCGGTGAGCGGCCATATTTACTGACTGTTTGACCACATCGGTGGCGGTGGAGTCGTGGTCTGCATGTAAACAGCTTCAGTGTTTTTATTGTTGTTGCTTTAAGGCTCAGAGGGAAAGTTGTGAGCAAATAAATCAGAGGAGGAGGAGGAGAGGACAGAGGGCGCCTCTTAGTGGTGGAAACAGGAACTGCAAGAACAGACACTAACAGCAGCCTGAGGTATACATTTATAGTGTGATCTATATTTATTATATCGTTTAACATCCGAATAACCGATTAACCTTCGAATAACCGATTAACCTTTAAAGTAAACTTCTGAAAAATGTTCGGATTTTACCTGCTTCGACCTGAAACATGAAACTGAGACACAAGAGATTAAAAAAGAACAAAATTATTCACCTCAAATTAAATCTAAACGAGCTAATATTCATGAAAGACAGCCGGATTATAATCCTACAGGATTAAACAGTCCTGTAGGACTTTTTTATAAAAGTGAAAAATCGCTGATCTCTTCATGTAAATCTATAAACGATCAGAAACGTTTGAAGAACAAATCAAACCTGATTTTACTCACATTATCTTCATTTTCTGTCATTATATTTTATATTTAAAAAACACCAAATCAAAGCCTGAGAGTATTCACCGTCTTATTTTAGTGTGTTGATGTTTATTTTGAGCTGAAATTTCTGCTTTATGTGAATAATTTAATATTTCTGTGTCGTTTTAAATGTTTGATTTTGTTATTTCTACGTGTTGGTGAAATATTAAACCGTCTTTATCTTTAAAATAACACTGATCAATATATTTGATTCAACATTAAAACATCTTTTCAGTGTTTTAATGTTCAGTTTTCCAAATTCACAAACGTTTTTTTGCTGTTTTTCGTAAATAGATCTCTAAAGGTTTTATTTTAATGTGCAGTTTTTAGTCTCCGTTTGTTTGAATTCTTCACAATATAAAGATGATTTTCAAAATAAAAGAGTGCTGAAATTATCCCAAAATAGGTCCAAAAAATTCACAAACTGATTTTATATAAATTATATTATAAAGGTTATTTTAACTCCACAGCGGCTCCACTTCGTTTCTGATGATTTTAGTAAACATTTTATACAAAATAAAGAAAATTTACGACCTAAAAAAATACGATTATTTCTCCGTTAAACTAAAAATAAGGTGACTCTGAGTTTACATGAGATTAAAGAGAAAACGGCCCGTTTTTAGGTCCTAATCTGATATTTTGAGGAACTATTTTTCTCCTCTCAAACCCTCCCCGTCTCCGCGGAGCTGTACTGGTGAATAAAGCGCTGATTAAACTGGTTAAACTGGGTTTGATGGGCAGGCAGCAGGTTCCTCTCCGCTCTCCCGCTGGTTCCGTGAACTGAATGAGGAGGCGAGAATCAGACGGAGGCCTGGAGGGACAAAAAGGTGTCCGTGACCAGCAGAGGACAGATGAGTGACAGTGAAGATGGACTAATATTGATACTGATCAGAAGAAATCAGACAGATAAACACTTGAATTTAGTGACTTTATTCAACATTTTAACCTCTAAAGATTTACAGGGTTTCAGTTTAAACTCAGAGTTTAAGGAGGAAAAAAGAGGCCGAAACTGATCAAAACACTAAAACTGACTAAACCACATTAAAATTAAACACTTTGTAAAATTTTAAAGTGTAAAAATCCGAAATTCTTCTGTTTTAACTCAACTGTCCCTAAAAATGATCCTGTTTCTTTAACTTTAATATTTTGGTGAAAAATTGTTTCTCAGTTTCCATCTGATCTCTAAAATAATCAACCTGCTGTGAGAATTAAAGTTATTCCAGTTTAATTCAGAGTGTTTCTAAACTGAGAAAAAGTGAAAAAAAAAAACATTTTTTGTTTTGTTTTATCTTTAAATCTTTTCTTTAAAACGCACTTTGTGATTAAAAAATAAGAGTATAACAAGATTTTGAAAACGCAGGTGTCGGTTTATTTGTAGTATTACGGTAAAAACCTAACGTTAGCTCACATTGTTTTTTCTTTTACTTTAATATATTTAACTCTCTATCTACTAATCCTAGTATTATTATATTTGGACCTTTATGTTAGCCTGATTATTTTCAGTGAACATGTTCAGGAATGAGTTTAAACTTTCATTTATTAAAACTCTTTAAAGTTAATTAAATTTCCTTTGTTTGGATTGTTTTTATTGTAAAAATTTTCTGCCTTATTTAAGAAATGAGTATTAGTGAGCCGAGCCCAGGCGTAAGTGAACTTAACGCCAGCTTAGGGCCCCACAGCCAGTAGGGGGCCCCCAAAAGCAATCAAAAACAAACAAAAAAAAATTATATTTTTAATTTTTTGCATGTATAAGTGATGCTTTCTGTATGATCAAATATATACTTTTGTAAAAATAAAGTAAAAATGTTTTAATGCTGCTGCAGATGTAGGTCTATGATTCTGTCGATAACACTTTTACAGTAAACATAACGATTTATCAATCACACTTTATCACTCTGAATGATGTGAAAATCAACCCCAGACCGCTCCTACAGCTGACTGTGTTTCACTTTGAGATTAAAAACCATCTGTGGAACCCTGAACATCATTCATCAGTCATTCGTCGGTATTATTTGTCTGGTTGTATTGGTATTATTTATGTTTTTACCAAGGCCACCTCCTTAAATGTGTAAAGACATGTCAGGCACATTAAATTTATACTGTAGTTGGTGTGTGAATGATCAATAATCAATATTATTGGCAGAAACAGAGGGCCACAAAATCAGACTTTGCTTAGGGCCTCATTGAGGTTTGGTCCGGCTCTGATTACAGTATGAAACTTAAATATCCTACAGACGATATCTGTGTCTCATACTGTAATATCGATCTATTCAGAGTATTATGGTAATTATTCTGAGTTGTAAAGGTTTTAATTTTAACTTCTGAGTATCTTAATTTTATTTCTCTTCAAATCTTTTTAAACTTTCTTTAGTTTAGAGTCATTTTTCTCCTCTTTGTTTATTTTAGGAGGTTAAATTGGAGCAGTATAGACATAAAAACATAGATTGACTGTTGAGGATTCTGAATCTTTAAACTTTATTAGTGAATGTGGAGAGAACAGAGGAGGTGAACACATGAGTGAATGAACACATGAGCAGATCAAAATAAATGAGCTCTGAGCACGTGTCCAGGTGATCAAATAATAACCGTGGATGTGTGTCTGAGGCTCGCGCAGAAAATCATTAGCGGTGTCGGCGCCGCGGGGTTAATGGTTCAATCAATGTCAATCGCTGAAAATAAACTTGTGAACCGGACAATCTGCCGGCTGGAACCCTGGACTCAAACTGAGACACCGAGAGGAGAGAGGGCCGGATTACTGCGGCGACAGCGACACCCAGTGGTGGAGAGGGGGAAGTACAGCAGGAACTTCTCACTGTGCTGGATCAGATCTTCAACAACCCTCTGTGGACTTTAGTGGACCCAGAAGACCAGGTTCTGGAGTCTGATGGTCAGATGTTGTCCCTGATGGAGGACTTCAGCGGCTCAACAGTTCAGGGTCTCCTCGGTCCTGTTTTTGGGGTCATGATGGTCCAAATGTTTCCAAGTCAGGACCCCATCAGTCCAGGACTCTTCTCCTTCTGAGCCATGATGTTCTCAGAATGTGGTTCAGGATCATCTGAAGGTCTTGTCTGGATGGCGGCGTAAACAGCTTCCCAAACAGGGTCGCAAAGGGGCGGAAAATTTTCGGTAAATTTCCAGAAACTTTTCATGGGAATTATTGTAATTTATGGTAATTAACTGTAAATTAGGGATATTTTAACCAGAATGTATCATCTCCAAACATAACTGTAAATATTTTTGTTTTGTCATCAGCAGACGTTCATGCAAAATAACTAAAAAACTTGTAAAAACACTAATGCAATATCATGAACAGAAATATATTCAGCTAAACAACTGAAATGGTCTTTTAAATATTTGATAATTGAATAAATGACTGTGTTGTTACAGAAAACCATCTGTCCGGAGTCTGAAGAAACAGAATCACATTTGAGGTCGTGACCATGACCATAAAAATCTCGACCCTTAAAAGGTGGAGTAGGCAGGAATCCGTTAAAGAAGCATCTTTTTATTTTGTTTATAAACAAAAAATCTTCTAATATCAGTTCATCTGATATTCCCGTTAACTCCCATGGAAAGATTCCAACTTTGAAAATTCCCCGGATTTTGCGACCCTATTCCCAACTCTTCTCAAACTCACAGAGGTCGAGTGTGACCTCCCCAGACAGCTGACCTTTGACTGTAAAATGAAAACTGAGGACAGTTCGGCGCCGGATCGATAACGCCGTCCTGTGATGTTCGTCTGATGACGATGTTTCCAGCAGAGGATGAGGAAGTGGGTCTGAAACGTGGAAATGAGGAAATCTAAAGACTGAGAAATGAGAAAGAGAAATCTAATGAAGCCGATTCTCCGTCAATACAAAGACGAGTGTGAGTGAAAGAAGATCAATCCGATGGTGTTGGTGTGAGGAGCAGAAACATGTTTATGATTCCGAGTCTGTTCGTCTGAAAGACTCTCACTCCAACACCTCAATGACTTTAATTTCCCAAAGTGTTTGAACCCCGAGGTCTTAATGGGACTCCTGATTTAATGATTGACTGATTGATGGGACTGAATGGAGGAGAGGATGAGTCTGAAGATGTTTGGAGTTTTCCCTCATTAATAAATAAACCCCGTTCATTTACACAAACACACAAAGTTCATCCTTCAAACATCTGTACAAACAGCAGACAGCATCCATGTCTGCAGGAAGCTTTTCTGATCCTAAATGTCACTAATTTGTTTGGATTGATTTGGCCTCCATCAATCTGGGACTTTTTACAGCGAGGAGATCAGATCTGAGGGGGAAACTCTTCAGAGAGACTCACGGCAGACCCTTTTAGACCAACAAGACCCTCACGGAGAGAACGGTGACCGTCACGTGAGAGGAGGGTCTGTTTACACCGACACAAAGTGAAGTATTTTGACCATATCATCATTTTTATGCATATTTTCCAACTCCAAGCTGTCTAAACTTGAATTCTGATTGGATATAATTATATCAGGTGATGTGTATTTGTGTAATGAGGGAGGGTGGGGCCTAAGGAGGTCAATACTCTATATCAGGGTGTGCATAATCATTAGGCAGCTTTTTTTCCTCACGATAAATGTGCAAAAAAAGAGATTTAAGTGACTCTGAAAAGTCAAAAATGGTTAAAAGTCTTGAAATTGCTGAGATATTGGGGCGTGATCACAAAACCATCAAACATTTTCTTGCAAATAGTCGACAGGGACAGGGTTTTCAGAGACACGGCCGAAGTAAGGCAGGCTGAAACCCGACCACCACTGAACAAAACACACGAGTTAAAACGTCGAGACGGGGCCGAGAAACATCTGAAGACAGATTTTTAAAGGTTTTATGGACTGATGAGGTGAGAGGGCGCTCACAAGATCAAGACCCTAAAATTAATTTAGAGTCAAACACACTGTAACGGTGATCATAAATGTTCTTCCTTGAGCTGCGGCACCCCGCTGTAGTCTGTACTGGACTGGCCTGAGGTCTCTCTACAAACAAGCGTCTGCTGGAAGAGAGTAGGTGAGTTGTGTTTAGTCTCTTTGCTAAAGAAATGAGTCAAAGTTAAAAAGATGTTTGGTGTCTAGTACTATGTCTGTGACCCTATATGTCCTGTTGATGAAGTTAGGTGCTGTTCTGAGCATTATTTGTGGTTATAGAGTGGCGTTTTGGTTGGGGGTGTGGCTCTCTCTGCGGTCGTGTTTGACCCTAAATTAATTTTATGCCAGAATATTTTATATTTTAGACAAAATTCAGACTCAGCAGAGAAGTTCTTCTGGGATTTACCTCCAACAATCGTACCTGAATATCTCCAATATTTACAATTATACTGAATATTCTACAGTTATATCTAATTTAGTTTGTAAACAGATCCTTTAAAGTGGAGAGGATTAACTTAGTCTTTGAATTTTAACTCCAGAGTCTTTGAGAGAAGACGAATTAAAACATCTGACATACAGAGTGAAGTGGAAATTCATGTTTGTACGTTACAGTTATGGAGGAATATCACTGAAAACAAGTAATATTATGACTTTTCCCTCTGCAGTGTGTGTGTGTGTGTGTGTGTGTGTGTGTGTGTGTGTGTGTGTGTTTACCCGGAGTCGTCAGAGTCGCTGCTGGCAGATTCAGGGACGTTCTGGAGTTTCTTTATCCAGAGCAGCTGGAGGTCTCTGCTGGATGCTGCAAACAGGTACTGACTGCTACACACACACACACACACACACACACACACACACACACACACACACACACACACACACACACACACACACACACACACACACACACACACACACACACTTATAATATCTTTCATTCAGCTTTAAGAAAAGAGAAACTGAGCAGAGAAACATTTAAAGGAACAGTTCGCAGTTTTGAACTAAAACACATGAAGATAAAACTGGTCTGGTCTTTGAAGGAACCTTTCAGGGAGGTTCACGAGTCTGCAGATTTAGGACTGCATCATTGGGACCACAATTATAAGACCCTCACCAAACAGCTTCAGGAAGACTTAAGTCTGATTTCAGCTAAAAACAAACTTAACTCTGAAAGAATAAAGGGATATTTCAGTGTGACTGAAGCCTGTGTGTGTGCTGTACTACCTCAGAGGACCTCTAGGGGGCCTCCTATCAACACGGTTGGAGTGGAAACAGTTTCTCCTGAGTAAATAAAGTCAGAACAGACTGAGGTGATGAAGAGCAGCAAACAAACACCGTTCAGTTTGACCTTCAGAGGATCGTCACTGCGGTCTGATCTCCGGGTGAGACTCTGTAGGCGGAGTAAAGAGCGTGGAGGTGGAGCTGAGATATAAAGCACTTTATTAAAGACAGAAAAACATCATCACACCTTAAAAACTCTGATAAAACGTCCTTTTCTCTTTTCCTCTCTGACCTCTGACCCCCAGAAACTCTTTTTCTCTACAGACAGAAACACGAGCGCGGCGCCTCACAGCTCAGCTACAGTCCATCATTACTGCTGCACAGGCCCCGCCCCCGAGGCTCCGCCCCTCACAGGTACAGGACTGTTATCGATGCTGCTTTAGAGACCTGATCCTGCTGACTCAGTCCAGTCCGGGTCTTACCCTGATCCACTCACCTGAGCCTGAAGGCCTCACCTGTCAGACACCACAGAAGAAGAAGAAGAAGAAGGGTCCTACCCTGGACCCCGCCTCTTCACCTTTAGACTGAGAGAACGCCGACGAGCTGGAGGCCGGGCAGCAGGGGGCGCCACACTGAGAGTCAGCACACACACACACCTGTACACACACCTGTCCACACACCTGTCCACACTGCAGCTGTTAACGATATCAATAAAGTTTCATCTGAATCGTTCTTCCTCTTCTGTTAAAACATCACACACGCACACTGAGTCTTTGTCGTCATGGTGACTGCGCCTTGAACTTAACGCCATGCGATGCTGGCCCCCAGTGGTTGTCATGGAGACCGACGTTGCAGCCCGGGGCGTCCCTGCGGGCGCCGAGACAGCACATCCAGAACCCGGGGCCGGTCGGCAGCGCCTGACAGAACGGTTTGTGGTGCCAGCGGCAGAGCGAGACGTCGCCGGGCCCGTAACGTTTCTTACACCGCTTACAGGGGTCGTCACGGTAACGGGGGTCCGACACCCAGAGCGAGTCAGCGGGCCGCACGCCGTACGTGTCGATGATGAAGGCGAGGTAATGGCAGGTGCACTTGAGCGCGGCGAGGCTCTGCGTCGGCAGCAGCAGGAGGATTTTGACCAGCAGGTGATGCGGCAGAACGGACAGGTACGGCTGAGGCTCCAGCAGCTGCTGCAGGCGCCGCCGAGTCAACAGGAAGTCCTCAGACGCCGACGCAAGGCGCCCCCGAGGAGGAGCCCAGCAGGGGATCAAACCACCAGTCTGTGTGAGGGGCGGAGCTTCAATCTGACTGACAGTCTGGACCTGCAGACCACCTGACTCCGCCTCTTCTTCAGTCTTACCTGAAGGGGGCGTGGCCTGGACAGGTAAGGAGGTCAGATTGTGAGCGGTGGGTGTTTTGGAGCAGCTGATTGGCTCCCTGTCTGTAGGCGGGGCCTCCAGCTGTGACACACGGAGAGGTGACGATGACGAGGAGACGCTGACCAATGAGGAAGAAGACGGACAGGAACGAGAACCCCGCTCTGTGGTGACCCGCAGGACTCCTCCCACAGTCCCTGTCAGGTTGCTGCTCTGTGATTGGTCGTCCTCTGTCCTCAGGTTGCTGCTCTGTGATTGGTCGTCCTCTGTCCTCAGGTTGCTGCTCTGTGATTGGTCGTCCTCTGTCCTCAGGTTGCTGCTCTGTGATTGGTCGCCTTGTGCCCTCCTCCTCAGAAACACGGACTCCAGTTTGGCGACCATGTCTGACACCTTCACGCTCTCTGGCTCCTCCCCCTGAGCCTCTGCGTTCTCCCTAAGCTCAGGGGGCGGGGCTCTGGACAGAGTAATGGAGGCGGAGCTTCTCCGAAGGTGAAGTTTGGGTTTAGAGTCTGGTTGCTGTTCATTGGCTCTCTGTTCCAGGAACGCCACCATCTCCACCACCGACACCTTCTCAGACGCTGACGGCGTCTCGTCCCCGCTGACAGAGCTGCTGATGGACACGCCCCCCATCCTCTGACCCTCTGCAGCAAACATGGCGATCTTCTCGCGGACATGTCCGGGCTTGATGACCGTCCAGATGTCCATTGTTGGGTCGGCGCCATCTGGCGTGATATGGTAGAGTCTGAGCTGGTCGTCGAGGAGCGACTGAGGGGGCGTGCCGAGTGACGCCAGCTGAAGGAGAGCCATGCTGTGATTGGTGGAGACAACACTGAGTGGGAGTCGGCTTCTGGTGCTGGCCCACAACAGCGCCCCCTGCTGGCTGCTCTGCTGAAGTGAAGATAAGAACTCTGACGGTACGAGCGTCAGACACGACTCCAGGTGCATGATGGTTACCTGGGGGGAGGGGACACCATCAGTTAAAACTCTAATAATACAAAGACCCATAATGATAATTATAATAACAGTAATAATAACATAAAAAGACTCATAACATCAAGACCCAAAAACTGGGAACCAGTTCTCTAAACTGGGAGCCTAAAAATCCACAGACTGGGATTTACAAAAATAAGAGCGTCTGAAAATTGTAATTTTTTATTTGGGTCTAAAACGTTAAAATATTTCATGTTCATCAGAAACATCTTTAAACATGAACTTTGACATCGACACTGAAGATTTAAGTTCTGATTAAATCATGAATCAGGTGAAATGAACGACTCTCCTGTTGTTCATTTTCACACATTTAGTTACAGAAATATCGAGTGATTATCTTTTATTAAGGGGTTACAGATAATCTGTGTTGGTCTCATAACTGAGATTGTAAACAGGAACCAAAACTATCTAACGGTCTAAAATCGGAACACCACAGGTCTAAAAATTAAAGTTTTTTTAGTCGTCTAAATTTAGACCAAGTCTAAATCTGGGCTATATATCTATACTACGCAGTTTATTGCTCAACGGCTATCATAATTATTTTAAGTACTTGGAGATCAGTAATAAACTCGCAGTTGCTTTTTGAAATAAATAGTTATCGAATTATGGGTTTAAGGGCAACGTCTAAATTCTAAGATCATACAGAATCTAGAATCGGCTGAAATTAGGTCTAAAAAAACAAGATGTCTGACAGTCGTCTGTTGCTAAGTGGGAAAGAAAAGCTAAGAGAGGCTTTTCCTCAGGTTTGGTCGAGACTCTGTTTATCATCTGAACTGATTTCTACATCTGTAGAATAAAAGACGCCCACGCTGTTCTTCAGATCTCCTCCTGTCTCCTGTTCATTGTTTTCCTGAGACTGTTAGTGTGATGTGAACTGAGACTCACCTGTTGATCACCTGTTCTTTCTGAAGGAGCCGTTTCTCCTCCTGCTGGATCACTCGTCCTCCAGCTGAAGATCGGAGTCCTTTAATTCAGAGTTAAACGGTCAGTCTGAGGGTCGGTCAGCTCGGACCAACAGTTTTTCAAATCCAACAGTCTGGATCTCATGGAGGGACCAAACATTTTCCTGAGGTGACTGCAGAGACTCAAACCCTGGACCTGGTTTTAAGAAGTTGTTTGAACCTTGAACTCACCTGCACTGACGCCTCCTCCTTCATATGTTGCTGGTTCTCCTTCCCTCACAGGTTCAGAGCGAACACAGCAGCAGAGTTCACTCCTGCAGAGACGTCAGAGTTACACCAAGTAGTCCTGCTGCAGGAAGTGAGACGGACCAGAACCACATGATTCAGCAGATACTGACGTTAAAAACTCAGACAGCATTAAAAATAATCTGTTTATTAAATAAACTTCAGAGGTAAATGGATGAATCTGTAACTAAATAAAACTAAAAACAGAGGAACCTGAATCAGTTTGTGTCTCACCCCTCTCCAGCTCCATGCTCTGATCCACTGTCTCCAACCAGGTGTGCTGGGCTTCTGCAATCTCTTGGCTCCGCCCCCTCCTCAGGAGAAACCAGGTAAAGGTGAGAGCTTCACTGTTTGCTCTGTCAGCTGATTAAAAATGACAAAGAAAGAACAGAACACAAAAAACAGGAGCTGGACTGACGTTAACGAGGGAGGGTAACGAGCGGAGGAGGAGTTTACACCTTCAGGTTCGGTTCGAGGGAGAGAACTTTAAACTCAAATTTTCATCCAAACATTTTTATTTCTTGGAGAAAAACTTCCTCAGAAATGAAGATTTTTAAAAAAGGACAAAAACACAAAGTTTGATTCGAGTCTTTTATTTTTCTTCCTCTGTGGAAACTGTTGAGACGTAAACACACAAAGTTACTCAGTCTCGGTCATGGCGACATGTGGTTGTCATGGAGACGGATGTTTCTGCCTGGCGTGTCCGACTCCTCAGCTGACCTTTGACTGTAAAATGAAAACTGAGGACAGTTCGGCGCCGGATCGATAACGCCGTCCTGTGATGTTCGTCTGATGACGATGTTTCCAGCAGAGGATGAGGAAGTGGGTCTGAAACGTGGAAATGAGGAAATCTAAAGACTGAGAAATGAGAAAGAGAAATCTAATGAAGCCGATTCTCCGTCAATACAAAGACGAGCGTGAGTGAAAGAAGATCAATCCGATGGTGTCGGTGTGAGGAGCAGAAACATGTTTATGATTCCGAGTCTGTTCGTCTGAAAGACTCTCACTCCAACACCTCAATGACTTTAATTTCCCAAAGTGTTTGAACCCCGAGGTCTTAATGGGACTCCTGATTTAATGATTGACTGATTGATGGGACTGAATGGAGGAGAGGATGAGTCTGAAGATGTTTGGAGTTTTCCCTCATTAATAAATAAACCCCGTTCATTTACACAAACACACAAAGTTCATCCTTCAAACATCTGTACAAACAGCAGACAGCATCCATGTCTGCAGGAAGCTTTTCTGCTCCTAAATGTCACTAATTTGTTTGGATTGATTTGGCCTCCATCAATCTGGGACTTTTTACAGCGAGGAGATCAGATCTGAGGGGGAAACTCTTCAGAGAGACTCACGGCAGACCCTTTTAGACCAACACCACCCTCACGGTAACCCTACCACCGATTTCCACCGCATCCGGAACGGCGGTGAATCGCCTAGAACTGCAGCTATCGAATATTTTAGTAATCGAGTATTCTACTGAATATCCCATCGATTACTCGAGTAATTGGACCCAAACGGCAGACTCACATAGAGTTTCACTCACGTCCACTCACAATGCGATGATGGACTCAGAGAAATAGCGGACAATCGACGAACAAGCGCAAAAAGTCACTAAAGTCGCCCCTCTCGTCATTTATTTTTTTCCGCTCCTGAAAACCTAAACAGCGCCAACTCCTCCTTCTACCGAGGTGACGCAAGTGCATTGTGTCACCTTGAAAAGAATCCGTGCGAAACAGTGACGATTCCAGCTTATAAACGAGGCAGAGAAAAGTCCTCGATCATTATTAGTAATCGAGGTATTCGAGGAATCGTTTCAGCCCTAGATTAGCCGTACGCCAATTCCTTCCAGATCTGTTTTTTTAGAAGACGTTCCAAATGCGGTGGAAATTAGGGGGTAAGACTCTTTTGGAAAGGACAGGTGAAACGTCCCAAGTAAGTCCAGTTGTCCTTTCAACAAAGAACTGGAAATCATAGATGCTGCATGCTCAGCTTTAGACAATATCTCTAGATTTAGGAGCAACATCTGCTGAAATCCAGACAAAGACTTTTTCAGACCTTCAGATGATCCCAAACCACAACAGTTGAAATTTGAGATGTAGAACTCTTGTGATCAGCTGAGGAGTCCGACGATCCGCAGAGGAACGTCGGTGTAAATTAAAGAAGTCGGTGTAAATTGACACGTTAACTTGAATGGTTACGATCAGCTACGATTGGAGGATACGACCTTTTAGGAGACGATCAGGATGAAGGTGGAGATCGGGGGTTTCAGGTCAACAGAGAAGGTTCTTGAACAGGTCTTTCCCTGACTCCATCTCACAGTCAGACAGCGGACCGTGAATCAAAGTGAAGAATTTTAAAACCTGATTATCAGTCTCGTGTTTTTCCTGTAAAGCACTTGGTGAAAACGTTAAAAAAGCACTTTTTTTAATCCAAAGTTAAGGCTTTTAGACCCTCGTCTGTGTTTTTATAGTCCAAAGTTTTCGGTTCGATGTCAAAGTCCCAAACTTTTCCAAACTTTTCTACTTCTTGGTGAAAAACTTCCTGAAGACGTTCCTCCTCGACTTGTTGGGATTGTCGTCGGACACGGTGGAGGCTGCAGCCGAGGAGACGTCCTGGGATTCAGGAGGTGGAGGAGGAGGAGCTGCTGATGGAGGCTGGACTCGACGGCTCAGAGAACCTGAAGAGTGATCAAGTCCAACAGATGATCCTAAAAACCCTTCAGAGGGTCAAAAACACGCGTTTCAGTTTCCACCTGAACATTCATGTATTTATTTACCTGTAAATTAACAACAAAGTTAAACCTGAACCTGCAGCCGTCCTGTGGTCTCACCTGAGGTCCGGTCCTCCTCCTCCTCCTCAGGGTAGTGGTGTTTGTTGTAGTAGGTGTGAGGAGGTTTTGGAGGAGGCGTCCCCTCTGTAGACGACTGTCTCTCCAGACTCTCAGTTCTTCTGCCGAATGTTCGAGTCGACGCTGAATCCTCCGACCCCTCGGCTAACTTCTCCAGACTCAGGTTGACTGAAGACGCTCTCCTGAAGGACGACAAACCGACGTTTCATTTAGACGTTGACTTCAAACCGTCACAGAAGAGACGCTGAACCATGAGGTGAACCAACACATTTCTAAACACTTTTGCACCGTCGGTATTTTCAGTCGATGTTAAAAACGTTCATCTTCGTCTGAAGTCCTGTGGAGGTCCGTTTAACTGTTTGTTAAATCTGTCCCACTTTGACACTTTTCTGTGTTTCTGTGACGACAGCACTTCATCCTCTAACAGCTGATGATTCCTCCATCACTGAGTTTGTATCAGTGAGAATATTTACACTTAAATAAAATACTAACAGTGATCCCTCCCTCTGCTCTGTTACCTTATATCACCTCTCTATTTATTATTATCAGCTCAGTTATCAGGAGTTTTAAAATTCAGACTTTTGATTGAACAACAGACGACAACAGCTCGTGTGCGTGTGTGTGTGTGTGTGTGTGTGTGTGTGTGTGTGTGTGTGTGTGTGTGTGTGTGTGTGTGTGTGTGTGTTTACCCGGAGTCGTCAGAGTCGCTGCTGGCAGATTCAGGGACGTTCTGGAGTTTCTTTATCCAGAGCAGCTGGAGGTCTCTGCTGGATGCTGCAAACAGGTACTGACTGCCATCCTCCAGTCTGTATATATACACACACAAACACACACACACACACACACAAACACACACACACCATTTCAGAATAAATCCTTCTAAAAGTTTAAAGAAATGTGTTTTTAAGCGTTTACAAATTATAGAGAAATATAAACCAAGATAAGAAAAAAACAAGTGAGGTAAAAACGAGGAAAAGCAAAAACTGTAATAAAAATAGGAATACAAGATCAATAAATAAGATCAATAAATGAGAGTAAATAAATAATAAATAAAGAGTAATCTGAGGTAAACAGGGTCAGAGGTCAGGGCTGTTTGTGTGAAACGATGATGTGACTGTTTTTGTTTTTTGTTCCACAGACTCACATCAGTTTGAAGGTGTGCTCTTTCCTCCTGTAGTAAACGTTCTCTCTGCAAACGGCTCCAACCATGTTGATAGGAGGCCACCTAGAGGTCCTCTGAGGAAGTGCAGCACACACACACACACACACACACACACAGATTAATCTCTTCTCTGTTTTTTCACAGGTGAGTGTTTGTTTGTTTTTCGTACCTGTGCAGCAGCCGCTCTGTCTTTGAACAAACTGAACGTCTCTCCTTGAAGAACGGCGAACACCTCCTCCCAGTGATCCAGACCCTGCAGCAGCCAATCAGAGAGAGAGAGAGAGAGAGAGAGAGACACCTGTCAGCCAATCACAAACCGGAGAACAGCGTGGAGATTCAGGAGGTCGTCTTTGTTCTCCTCTTCTGAACAAACGTTCATAAACTCTTCTTCAGTCTCACGTCACTTCTCTCTCACCTTGGTTCCTCCTTGTTTCAGTTTGATCTCCAGCGTCCCCTCCATCCTGATTGGCTGATCTGTTTTTACCTGAACAGGTGTAAAAGAACCAATCAGATTCTCAGAACCAATGAAGATTAGACAGTTTATTTATCTACACTTCATACCTCTGATTCTGGTTCTGGTTTGGACCCGGGCTCCTCCTCTGGCAGATCCTCCAGCCTCCTCTGTCTCTGTGGAGGTGACGGAGGCAGCTCTCTGATTGGTGGAGAGAGGTCAGCTGATGCAGAGTCCTCCTCTGTGATTGGTGGTGGAGAATCGGGGACATCAGGAGTCAGGTCTTCAGGGAGTCTCCTTGTCAGAGGAGGGGAGGATCTCCGAGCAACAACAGGTGGAGGAGGAGGAGGAGGTTCAGAGGGAGCAACAAGAGATCTGACGAGAGGAGGAGGAGAGTCAGGAGGTGTGGAGAGGTTCTCTGAAGGTCCATCTGTGGAGGACAGTCTTGGTTTTGGAGCCAGAGGAGGTTTGAATCTGGGTCTGGGACGTGGTTCTTCCTCAGGAGTCTCCGTGGATGGAGAGGAGATGGAGGTCTGAGGAGAGGATCGAGGTTTGGGTGGAGGAGACTGAGGAGGTTTTGGAGACGGGGAGCCTGAGCTGCTGGTTCGACTCCTCCTGGTCTTCAGAAGTGGGCTGGATCTGGGACTCTCAGAGGAACTGCTGGACTCTTCTTCTCCATCTAAACTCCTCCTGGTCCTGAAGCTCCTCCTCCAGTCTGAGTCCAGGTGTGGAGGTGGACTGGATGTGGAGCCAGCAGAAGCCGTCAGACTGGTTTTCTTCTCCAACACGGAGGGACGGGTGGTTCTGTCGGTTCTGCCGCTGCTGACTCGACGAATGATGGAGGAGGAGGAGGAGGAGACCTTCACCATCCTTGGATCTGAAGGTCTCCTCCTCAGAGATGAAACTCTGGCTGGAGGTTTTCTGTCCTCTGAGTCCACGCCCTCATTTCCATGAAGGTTCAGTCTCTTCTCCCTCTGAGAGGATAAAAAAAATCAGATTTAAAGAGAAAAATCGACTTTTTCTCACAGACTTCAGACTCTAGATGTCTCCTGATGTTCTCCTGCAGCAGGTCCATGGTGGATCCACTGAAGGTCCATGTTTACTCATAATCATTTTTGTTTCTTTGGTTTAAAGTGTACAGCACTGAGGCGTTTACATGACCTTTAACAGCTGAAACAAACTCACCAAACCTCATTGAAAAAACACTCGTTTTAACTCACGGACTTGATCGATTTGTTTGTTTGTTTTCCTTTAACTCGCTCGTCCTCTATGACCACCGACCTGTGTTTTCTTCTTCTGTAGAGCCATGAAGCGCTCGCTCTGGGCCTGGATCATGGCCTCCAAGTCCTCCTGCCTCTTCAGGAGCTCCATGACGTCTGACACAGAGTCCTGAAATACAGCAGAGACGTATTTACAGATGTTTTTAGGAGATGTCCTGACCTTCACCCTGATCCCCACTGACTCTGACTCTGATCTGGTCTGGACTCACCCCGTAGTCCTCGGCCATCAGGGTGTTTTCGTAGGAGCTCAGCCAGCGCTCCGCCTGCTCCAGCTCCCTCCTCAGGAGAGCCATCTCCAGCTCCTCCTCGTACAGCAGCTTGGTTTCCTCCCAAACCTTCTCCAGCTGCTCCTCCAGCTCCTCCAGCTCCAAGACGCGCTCCTCCACCTCAGAGGAGGACAGGAACAGAGCAGACAAAGGTCAGGATGGTCAGAAGGTCGAGCTCAGATCTTTGATGTGTCTTTAGAGTGTCTCACCTCCTTGGACATGAAGTTCCCCTCCTCTCTTAGACGCCTCCCCTCCTCCTTCACAGCCTGGGATTTGCTGAGTTGTCGGTCCATCTGGACTCGGTACTCCTCGTGTTTTTTGATGAGCTGCTCCAGGTCCGCTCCCTCCAGGCTGAGAGCTTCTCCTCGTATCAGGGACAACATCTCCTTCAGCCAGGCCCTGAGACAAACACAGAGTTCAGACTGGACCGGCTCGCTCTTTAGACTCCATCTTTTATAACTTTCAACATGAAATTATCTGCTGTAGAAACACACACACACTCAGACGGGTGTATTTCTGCGCTCAGAGGTAAAGACGTCACCTACATCAGCTCACTCAGGTCTGATAAGTATCTCTGCACGTCTTCAGCCTGACCCAGTCGGGCTCGGCGTTTGGAGGCCTTGTCCTGGATGCTGGTCCAGCAGACCTCCAGCTCCTCCAGCCTCTGAGTCACGGCGTGTCGGGCCTGAGGCTGCCTCCTGCTCAGAGACCGGCCCTCCTCTCTGCTCCTCTTCAGCTCCTCAGAGATCAGAGCCAGGTCCCTCTGTAGGAGGACACAAACATCAGGACCTGCACTGATACCTGCGATCTCAAATTAAAACAAAGAGAGAGGTTTCTTCGCTCTCTTTACTTTAAAATCCTGTATCTGGAAAGTTTAACCCACATGGTTACATTTGGTGTACCTCAGGGCAATAAACTGGGACCTTTTTACTTTACAATATTAACTCTCTGAGGAAAAGAAAGGGGATAAACCCGCATTTTCAGGTTGAATTATTCACAGTTCAGCTTTGATTATCCGCCTGTTAAACCTTATTTTAATATGTGAAAATCCACAGTTATATTTGGTGAACCTCAGGGACATAAACTCGGTCCTCTTCACATCTGAATTAAACATCTCTGGACTGTTTGACCAAAGATTAGCTGTTGTGTGTTGCTCTGTCGCCGTGCAAGTTTACAGTTACTCATTATAGAGAAAGTAAAAATAAAGAAAAAATAAAATAGAAAATAAAATAAAAATAAGGTAAAAATAAAAATAAAGTAAAAATAAAATTAAAATAAAGTAAAAATAAAGAAAAAATAAAATGGAAAATAAAATAAAAATAAAATAAAAATAAAATAAAAATAAAATAAAAATAAAATAAAAATAAAATAAAGTAAAAATAAAATCGAAAGTAAAATAAAAATAAAGTAAAAATAAAATAAAAAAGTGAAAATAAAAAATAAAATAAAAATAAAGTAAAAAAACAAAAACAAAAAAAACCCACTGACTTTAAAGACTTTCTTGTTCTTGTAACCCTAGCTTATCTTAATAATATTATTATTAGTATAACTATTAAAATGTTCGTGTTTTTTTTCACTTTTTCATGAACTAAACTCTGAGTCTATTCACAGTAGATAAACACTCAGTCCTGCCCAGTTTAAACACTCTTTAGACCGTCCTCCTTCCTGCGCTCTTGGCGTCCTACCTCCAGGGCTTCATGTTGTCTCAGCAGAGTCTGGATGGAGTGCAGATCGTGGTCCTGGTCCTCAGAGTCCAGCACAGCCTCCTTCTCTGCCATCCAGCCCTTCAGCTCGTCCACGTCGTGGTTAAACTGATGGATCTCTCTCGCTGACTGCAGATCCTGAGGAGACACAGACCAGATTGTTATCTTCCCTCAGACCAAACCCCCTGACCCCGCTCTGGTACCTGGTCTCCACCCTCTCACCGTCTCTCTGGTCCTGATGCTGCTGTTCAGGTCCTCCCACAGCTGGCTGAGGGTGTCGTCCCTCCTCCTGGCCTGGTCGTCCTGCTGCAGCCCTCTGCAGAGCTGCTGGACCGACGTCAGGCGGCTGCGACCCAGACCTGACATCTCTGAAACCAGAACCTCCAACTTCTTCTGGAGGACCTGCAGACAGAGAGGGAGGAGGAGGAGATTGAGGCTGTATCAACAGGGTTTATACAGGAATCTTAAAGTTAATTTAAAACCTTTTCAAGATTTTTAAAGACCATCCCAATATTTCGTCACAGAACTGAACCTCCTGGTCTTCATGACTCACCTCTACGTCCTCCAGATCCTGCCCGATGTCTTTGGACTCTACATGGGACTTCTTGGAGGTCAGCCATGTTTGTAGTTCTTTGGCCTCCCTCTCAAACACATAGAGGCGGAGCTGATCCTCCAGAGCGGCACGGCGAGCGGCTGAGAGTCTGAGGAGGGTCTCGAATCGCTCCAGGACATCTGGGAGGGACTCAGAGACCAGGTGGCTGAGAGGGACAGAGACAGAACCTTGTGATTGGGTCGCTGTATTAGAACACATGCTCCTCCAATCCAGCTGGATCTTGAGCACCAAGCCCGCGTGTTTTTACCTGTTGGGGTGTCCCAGGTGCTGCAGTGAAGCTCCGCCCTCCTGCAGCCTCTCCACCGTCCTCCTCTGGTTCTCCAACTCCACGTCCACAGAGTCCAGCTTCCTCAGCAGAGCCTCCGTCGCCTCCTCGCTCCTCCCGCAGTCCTTAGACTCCAGCCCCGCCTGCTGCTCCTCCACCCACAGCTGCAGCTCAGACACCTGTGGAGACAAACACCTGGACAGGTGAGCGGGAACAGGAAACACCGACCACGACAAACTCTCTGTTTCCAGAGTCCTACCTCAGCCAGGAAGGTGTGGATGCTCAGCGCCTCCTGCAGGAGCTTCCCCTTCTTCTCCGCCTCCCTCTGCAGCTCCTCATGGAGACTCTTCAGCTCATCCAGACGCTCTCTGATGTCATGAGACGCAAAATGGCGAGCCCTGACCTGCAAAGGTCAAAAAGATGAGGTCGTGTAGCTCCTCCTCCTACATGTTTTTTTATATCACATTATTCACAAGTGTCCTGATTGGATGACGGCGCCTCACCAGACTATGCCCCGCCTCCTGAACTGCTTGGACCAATGGGGCGCGGCCTGAGATCTCCTGCATCACTGCCTGAAACGGTTTGAATAAACGTCAGTATCAGACTTCTTCACTGTTAAAAGGTTTTAAATGAGGTTTTAAAGTAATTTTAACGGCTCTGATGATCACGTTTATTTCACAGATGTAGACCGCGGTCTCTGACGGTACCTGGTGTTTGTGGAGCAGCTGCTGGGTCCCGCTCAGAGAGCCCCCCCAGTCTTTAGCAGTGATGGAGGGCAGTCTGTCCCTCAGCCACGACACCTCCTCCTCCACGTCTCTGTAGAACTGGAACAGAACCTGCCAGGCCTCCAGGATGTCCCTGCGGTTCTGAAGGGGCTCGGCCAGACTGTTATATCTACAGGAGACACAAACACACACACAGACACATTAAAACACACACAGACATGAACACCATTGTGTCATTTATGGTTTGAGTTTATAACTGAGTCTACTTTGTCAGACCTGGTCAGAACTGGTCAGTCTTTAGTGTTGGTGTCTGATTATTAGCTTCAGGAAAAAATTTTAAAACCAAGTTTAAGTTTTTAAAAACAGTTCAGCAGGTTCAACCTAAGATTCATGAATTTACTGCAGAGGAACTTGTCGTGATTCTGGACCGGGTTTCAGACCTGTTGATGGTGTGCGACACTCGGATCTGGATCTCTTCAGCCAGGAAGTTTCCCTGAGAGTGAAACATCTTCGCTGTTTCAACCAGAGCCTGAAAAACGATCAAAGAAAGACGGATCAGAGGTCACCTCAGGTCACAGACAGACTACTGCTGTGTTTTCTGGTCTGCAGAGACAGTCAAACACTTCCTCTCTCTCTTTGTTCAGACGGACTGAAACCTGTACCTGGATCCGGTCTCTGTGCCCGTCCACCTCCTCCTCCAGACCCTGCAGAGCCTTCAGCAGCCTGTTGACGGACGGCAGGTCGCTCCCACAGTCCTCATTGGTCAGTTCCCTCTCCACTGAGCCCACACACTGCTCCATGTCGTCCAGAGAGCGACTGAACTGCAGCGCCTGAGCGACAAAGATTGGAAATAAGTTTTTGATTTTAAAAAGTAAACGTCTGCACACGTGAAGAAATCCTGCAGCACTGTGATGTCCTGGCTCTGAGTACCTGGTAGGCCTCCTGCAGTCTGGTCTTCTTCTCTTTGCAGTGTTTGATCAGAGCGTCCCAGCTGTCCGTCAGCTCTCGGAGTCGAGGTCGAACCTTCATCTCAGCTGATCGAGACTCCAGCAGCTTCTCTCCCTCCTGCACACAGACGTCAAAATACTCCTTTATATAACCTGCATTTAAAACTCGACTTAAGTCAGTATTTGTAAGAAAACATCAGGAGAGTTTAAAAATTTCCTGAAAGTAAACAAAGATTATCGTCTACTAAGTTTTCTATCACAGACTCGCCTTCATCAGAGCGTCCACTCTGTAGCGGCTGGCCAGGATCTCGGCCTCAAAGCTCTGATGTTTCAGCAGTTTGGCCTGAAGGTTAGTCGGCTCCCTCCAGTTCTCATCCAGCGCCACGGCGTTTCGCTCGTTCAGCCACACACACACCTGAAACACACACAAACACAATAAAAAAGCAGAGTTGGAAATCAGACAGGATTCTTCTCAAACCCAGTCCAGTTCGCTGTGGTCCAGTAAAGTCCGGTACCTGATAGCTGCTGGATAAGAACTGCTGCAGCTGCAGTGATTGGTCCAGAGCTTTGTGGCGAGATCGGCTCTGCTGCTGCAGGTGGCTCCGCCTACAAACAGGTGAACAGAGAAGTAGACAGGTAAACTCAGAGAACTGGAGTCGTGGAAATTCTTTGTAGAAATTTTTTGTAAATTTATCTTAAAAAATCAGAAACTCTGTAAAAACTTTGACAGTTAAAACTTTTCCTCAAATCTTAAAGTGTCTTTAAAGAACCGAAGTATAAAAAAACTCTTTTAAAAGTAAAAGTCCTTCAAATCAAACCTGTTTGTACTCGTGTTTTTAAATATTAGACCTCTTCTGTTTTATGATGCGTTCAAGTGTCGATTATTTTACTGTCAGTTTGAGTCGCTGATGTCACATGACCGTCCTCACCTGACGTGGAGCGCTCGGCTCTTCGCCCTGATGTTCTCAGAGTCATAGTGGTTCTGTTGGATCATCTTCTGGGCCGTCTTCTCCACCTGGTCCAGCTGGTCCACCTGAGCCTCCAGAGCATCCTCAAACTGGACCTGCTTCCTCTGCAGAGTCTCCACCTCCGTCACAGAACTCTGCACCAGAACCAGAACCAGAACAGAGACTGACAGTGAGGTTTGGTTATTCATGTTAAAGTTCTGGTCTTCTGAGCGTGAAGGTCTCTCTTACCCCGAGGTTCTGGTTGGACAGGAAGGCCTCCTTGTTGCTGAGCCAGCTCTCACACTGCTCCACTGAGACCAGGAACACCTGCAGAGACGGAACCGGGTCAGAACCAATGAAGGTCTAACTATTTTCCCTCGTGTCGTGGTCGGGGTCTCACCTGCAGGGTTCGGGCCTGCTCCAGGGTTGTGCTGCGTTTCTGCCAGGCCCGGTCCAGATCCGCTTTAGCTTCCTCCATTTGTTTCAGCGCTTTCTGGATCTCCGCCTTTGAGCTGTGACCGGACCGGATCAGACCCGAACCGTAGTCTCTGACCGAGTCTGTGCGCTCAGCGCGGGCGTCGATCTCCGCCTGTGAATAAAATGACGGCAGAATTCAAAGCTCTCTCCTGATTGGCCGATACAGAGAAACAGCAGAACTACACGCCCCCTCTGACCTTCCAGTCCTGGTGCTCCACGATGAGCCGGTCGGCCTCGGCTCTGGTTTTTGGAAGTCCTTTCTCGGCCATCTCGCTGCTCTGTTTGACACTCCACTCCAGCAGGAGGCGCTGGTTAGCTTTGAAGAGCTGCAGCTGATGAGCCTCCTGCAGCTTCTCCTTCCTGAAAGTGACCGTGAGTTTACTCCACAGGTATTTAAACTCAGATTAAACTCTGATTTAGGTTTAGACCTCCCTCACCTCTGTTTCACCTCCTTGTCCAGAGTCCTCAGAACCTTCTGGACCTCCTTCTGTTTGGTCTTCAGCTTGTCGCTCATCACTGATCGATCCTTCAGGTGGTCAGAAACCTGCTTCTCCAGCGCCTGAAAAGAGGAAACGAAGGAGTTTAAACTTTAAACTTTTTAAACTGATGACAGACAAATATATGAACCACTGACAAAGACAGACGCCTTTTCTCTGAAACCACTTCTAGCATATCTAGACGACATTAAGAGTTCCACAGAGCTCCGTCCTCGGACCTCTTTCAGTTCAAACGTTTAGATGTTTCCTCTGGTTTGGCAGGAGAAACATCAGCTTTGGTTTTAAACATCCTCCTCTTCGTATCTCGTTGACTTTGAGAGAGAAATTTGAATATGGTCATCTGAATCTCTCCGTGTCTCACCTTTGACCTCTCCTGGATGACCCCAGCTTCTCTCTCAGTCTCCTCATGGCGTCTGATCAGGTTCTCCACACTGTCCACGTCGAACCCACAGTCCTGCCCCTGCAGCAGCAGCATCTAAATGCAGAGACCCCGACACGGTCACAGAGTCTGATTTGATGAGCTAACGTGAGCTAACGTGTTTTTGAGGACGCTGACCTTCTCATTGGCTCGGTCTCGGACCTCCTCCAGCTCTCTGATGAGGTTGTGGACCACCAGCGCCCCCTCCAGCTTCTTCTTGTATTTGTTCAGATCTCCGTGAAATTTACTCCACCTGTCAAAGACGAGACGCTGAGCGCAGAGCTGCGAGAACACGCCGCATTAAAGAGGAGGTCAAACCCGGGAGTTACCTGTCGTTGAGCTGCTGCCTCCTCTGCCTCACAGTCTCCAGCTCTTCATCGCTCTGCCTCTTCTCCAGACGAGCCGCCAGTCTGTTGATGGCCGTGATGTGAGCGTCGTCCACCGTCACATCCTGCAGAGGAACAAACCTTCAGTGTCTGAGAAGAACGGTCATAAAAACCTGACAGAGTAACTTCCACATTCAGGAAGATGATGAAGGAGATCTGGATTTTGATTTCTCACCCCATCGCCCGTCCCTCTGAACTCGCCGAGTTTCTTCAGCAGCTGAACTCCGTGTTCATAATCCTTCCCAAGATCTCCAACGTTGATCATCACCTCCTGAAACAGAGGGATCAGACACAGACATGATCCACCGCAGACACACTGAGAACACTAACCCTCCATCCATCCATCCATCCTTCTCTACCTTCTGTCTGATCCACGACTCCACCTCCTCCACTTTCTGCAGGAACTCCAGGAAGTCTCTATTATCTGCCAGAGCTTTCCCTCTGATGGCGAGCGCCTTCTTCAGCTCCTCCCAGTGGAGCTCCAGGGCCGCTGAGCTCCTCTTCACCTCCTTAGACTTCGGGTGACGGAGGGAGACCAGCCTCTCTCCTGCCTGGAGTTCCAGAACAAGAACAGGGTTCATCTCATAAAGTGAAGGGCTGCGACTAATGATTATTTTAATAATAGATGAAACTGTCGATTATTTTTTTGATCAATCGATGAAACGATGAATTATTTTTGATTAATTGATGAATTGTTTGACTGTTTTTTAAAATTAATTGATGAATCGGTCAATTATTTTTTCGATTAATCAATAAATTGGTCGGTTATTATTTTTTAATTAATCAGCAAATTAGTCAATTTAATTTTTTAATTACTCGATGAATTGGTCAATTATTATTTTTTCAATTAATCGGTGAGTCGGTCGTTTATTTCTTCTATGAATTGATTGATTCGGCCAATTATTTTTTCGATTAATCAATGGATCAGATACAAAAACATTTTTAATTTTCACTACTTTACTTCAAAAAGGAACATTTTAACTGACAGAACAAACGAGTGCACAAAAATCAGGTTACTGCTTAGATGTTCAGTTTCAATCACATTAAAAAATAAAAATAAAAATATATTTATTTTTATATATTTATTTTTATTATATTTTTTAAATATATTTAAAATAAAATAAAAATATATTTATTTTTATATATTTATTTTTATTATATTTATTTAATATATTTTAAAATAAAATTAATATATAAAAATATATTTATTTTTATATATTTATTTTTATTATATTTATTTAATATATTTAAAATAAAATAAAAATAAAAATATATTTATTTTTCGCTTTTGGTCAAGACAGCTGCTTGTTGTGGTGTTCATGATGTCTTTCCCACCATGAATCCCGTCATCGTTGGCTGACTCTGCGTCATGGCGAATGATGAATTAACCACGCGACACAACGAATCGATAATAAAATTCGTTGATACTTTTAATAAATCAATTTTTATCGATTTTAGAGATTCGTTGTTGCAGCTCTAATTTACAGCATCTTCACTCAGACTCTCATCACGTTTGACCTCCATGTCGTTTCTCACCTGAAGAACAGACGCGATGATCTGACCATGAGCGAGGATCTCCGCCTCAAACACCTGGTGTTTCTGGAGGAGCTTCATCTTGGCCTGCAGGTTACTGAGGTCGGCTTTACCGTCCTCCGCCATCTTCTGCATCCGCTCAGAGACCCACTCCTCAGCCTGACACACACACACACACACACACATACACACACACACACACACACACACACGTTTGTTTTATTTAACCAAAGACAGAAGTTTTAAAATAACAGCGATAAACGGATCCGCGGTTTTCCAGGTACCTCTGCTACATCTCTGTTAAAGATGCACAACATCTTGGAGAGCTCCAGCTCCTCCCTGCGTTTGACGGACAGCTCCTTGATCCTATCCCGTCTGTGGAGGAGGGCCTTGAGTTTGGTTTTGACCCGCCCACTCTTCTCTCTGCTCAGCTGCTTCTTCAGACGCTCAGAAAGTTCCTTCAGAGAGGACAGCTGCACCAAACAGAGAGAAGAAGAACGATAAACAAATGAACATCAGTTAGAAGTCATCCTCTCCTTAAAATGGACTTCTTTGGAGAAACTCTCAGACCTTCTCCTCCTGCGAGCTCAGCAGCTTCTCAAAAGCTTCGTGACGTTTGATCAGACCCTCCGTCTCATCCACCGTGTTTCCCAGAATGCTGTTCTGCAGCAGGATCTGTGGAGGTTTGACAGTCATCAGAGGATGAATCTGGTGTTTCAGGTCTTTGTTCGGAGAGTGTGGGTACCTCCTGAGAGCTGGTGGTTTTGTCCACGCTGTTCACGTCCCTGTAGAAGACCTGCTCCAGGTGGACCGTCTCTAACCAGCTCTGTTTCTGCTTCCACTGCTCCTCCAGTTTGTCTCGCTCCGCCTGCAGCGCCTTCAGCTTCGCCATCACCTGCAGGAATCACAGTTAGACACCTCCAACACCGCGCTGCACCTCCCTGTGATCCAGGGTCTCACCTCCTTCCTGTGTCTCCTGTCCTGGGTCTGAAGCTCCTCCCCCAGGTCCAGAACCTGCTGGTACATCTCCTGTCGGGCCTCCATCTCCGCCCACAGCTGCTGGTGCTGAGCCAGCTGCAGGTCTGCGGTCGCCACGTCGCTGATGCTCTCCTCGGCAGCCATCACCCCGATCAGCTGACTGCACCACAGGAGGTAATCCTGCGCCTGAGGGACACAAAGACAGGCGGGTTCGAGGTGAAATGCATGATGGGAACAGAAACAGAAACTCTTTAATCGTTTGTCTCTCTGTCTTCTTCACCGTGTTCAGAAACATGTATCTCTGCTGCGCCAGTTTAAGCTCCTCCTCCCTCCGCTCAGCCTGAAGGCGAAGCTCCTCCCAACGCTCCACTACTTCCTGTTGCACCTCCTGCAGGCGGAGCTTCAGCTGAGGCGTGCAGAGGTCAAGGATGGGGTCGATGGCGTCCAGCTGTTCCTGTAACTGCGAAGCACAAAAACAAACATCATGATCATCAGAACGTCTCCTCTGCTCTGCTGCGTCAGGCTGTCGTCTCGCCATTTCCTCACCTGCTGCTCCGTCGCCGCCAGCTCATGGAGCAGAGCCTCATGTTTCCTCAGCTGTGACGTCACTCCACGCAGATCCTTGGCCACGTCGTCAGGGATGCTCTTCTGTCGCTCCTGCAGAGAGAGTCAAAGTGTGACTTTGACGGCGGCGTGTTTGTTGTTATAAACATTCATACGGCGTGATTTTAAAGATGGTTTCCTCACCCGTATGAGCGTCAGAGCGTCGGCCAGCTCTTGATAGAAGCGGTGACACTCCTCCGCCCTCTCCAGCTGATCCTGACGCTCCCTGGCCACGCTCTTCAAATCCTCCCAGCATGCACTGCAAACATGATCAGAGTTAAAACAACAGGACAGAGTTTCCTCTCGATTCTCTAGTCTCCGCTCGTTCTCACTCGTCTGCAGACCCACCTGAGCTGCTGCAGACTCTCTCTGACCGCGGAGCTCTGAGGATGTTTGTTGTGGATCAGCTGAGCGGCCAGGTCGCCGCAGCTCTGCAGTCGGTCCTCGCCGACCTCCAGCTGCTTCAGGAAACCTTCAAACTTTCCACGCAGCAGCTGAAACACAAACTTCAACCTCAGAACCTTTGAGATAAATAAGTTTCTAGTGAACAGAAATAAGTCACTGCTTTATTTCTTTGTACATATATTCGTGCTGGCGTTAGCCTCTGTTCATTTCAGATCTACGTTCTCTGTCTGACCCGTGTGTTGCAGGGCGCCGTTAGCGGTGCCTCACCTGAACATGTTGGTAGTCGTTGCCCAGGTCCTGAGACTCTGCCGTCTGTCTCTGCTGGATCATCCAGTCCTCTAACTCAGAGGACTCTCGTCTGAACTCGTGCAGGTGGAGGACTTCCTTTAACCTCTGACCCCTGATGGAGAAGACGTGACGCAGTCAGGAATGACAATAACATTTCATATTCATATCTCAAGAACACTAAAGGCGTTTTTATTCATTCTCAATATTTAAATACTTCATAAGAGAAAACTGATTTAATGTTTATTATTTAAAATCATGAATGTTACAGGTGTGTTTTCTGTTTGGTCCAGCAGAGGGCGCCCTCATCGCTACCTGACCATAGAATAAAATCAATACGGGATGATTTTCTGTAAAAATGGAGGAAGTTTACTCCAATTTAAGAAACTCGGAGTAAACAATCCCGACACCAATAGATCTGAGAGGCTCTCTGTGAAATATTTAGAGTTCAACTTCAGAACAAATAAATGTCCATGAATAAAACAAGAAATAACAAAGAAACTTCTGAGTCTGTCTGAAAATCGACTTTTTTAAGTTTCTATCAGCATCAAACGGACAAAGTGATGAATACTCTCTGAACAGGAACTTCTAAAAGCTCATCCCAGCGTCTTCATATCGCAGCAACGACTCCTCTAAATGTGTGAAGAGCCGACAGGTGAGTCGGTTCACTCCTACCTGAGAGCCGCCTGGTGCTGCAGCTGCTGGTTCAGGCTGCTGAGTCGGCTGTACGGACGGCTCAGCTCCTCCAGTCTCCAGTTCTGGACCGCCTGCTCCACATGGTCTCCAAGCTCTTCCACCTCCACCTCCAGCACCTCCAGCTGACCCTCCAGCACCTACACAGAGGGAGACATCGATCTTAGCAGTGTGGCATTTTTCACACCTGTAGATTCAACAAGTTTTTATAGTTTTGTTTCACTGATTTTATTATCAGACACTTTGGGAAAATTTAATCCAACTTTTTAGGATCTAAACTTTGCAGAAGAAACAAAAGTTCACCTGCAGATCCCCTCACACATTTATAGAACAAAGAAGTCGTGGACCAGAGCTCAGTCTCCTCCTCTCAGTGTGTGTTTGTGTGTGTGTTTGTGTGTGTGCGGTACCTGGTGTTTGGTGATGAGACTCTGCGTAGCCAGCTGGTCTTTCCCGTAGTCGTCCGTGTTCACCACACTGAGAGTCTCGGTCAGTCTGGACTCCAGCTCTGAGCAGTCCAACAGCAGCTGGAGACAAATCAGACCAGAAACCGGATCAGAGTCCTTCAAAAAACTCAGTCCAGACCAGAAACCGGATCAGAGTCCTTCAAAAAACTCAGTCCAGACCAGAAACCGGATCAGAGTCCTTCAAAAAACTCAGTCCAGACCAGAAACCGGATCAGAGTCCTTCACAAAACTCAGTCCAGACCAGGAGAAGAACCTCTCTGTGTTTCTGGACGTTCACCTTTACGTTAAACTCTTCCTCTTCTCTAACGAAACCCCGTCCCTCTCACCTGTTCTCTCGTGATGGCCTTGCTCAGGTGAGCTGCTCTCTTGCTGCAGGCCTCCTCTAGCTCCTCCCACTCTGCACACAGGTGACTGCACCTGCAGGAAAACAGCCAAACCGTAAGTTAATACCTAAAGATCTAAAACTGAAATTAACCACACGGAGAGAATCCTGCACCTCTGGAGAACCTCATCGCCGTCTGATTTGTGGGATTTGGCTAAGCTCCGCCCCTTCTCCAGGACATGATTCAGGTATTTCTGGTGAGCGTTAACTTCTGCCTGCAGCTCCTGCATGAACACAAACAGAGTCAGCGTGGACTCGTGGTCTTCTGTTCTGATCACTGACTAAAAAGGTTCTGATCCGGCGAGGACCTTGTGTTTCTGCATGAGGCTGATGGCTCCGCCCAGAGACTTGTCGTATCCTGTTGATCCAGGAGCAGGAAGGTGTTCGGAGATCCAGCTGAGCTCCAGGTCCACGTCGTGGTAGAACCCAAACAGCAGCACCAACACCTCCAGCTGAGCCCGACGCCGGTCCAGAGGCTTCTGGAGAGACTTGAACCTGAATGAAGAACATCGATGTCAGAGCTAACACAGAGGATCTAACCAATCAGAGCAGAGGAGGACCTTCAGTCCCTGTCTATGTCCTACAGACTTCTTCTTCATGAACCACAGTCCTGAACTCACAGAGTCAGGTACGTGTCCGTCTCTTTAAGGATCCTCTGAGAGTCAAAGTGGTTGGACGCCAGGTGTTTGGCTCTGCTGACGATGGAGTTGATCTTCTCCGCCAGTTCCTTGGCCTCCTGCTCCAGCTGTTGATGCTCCTTCACACAGAAACACAGAGAAGTAGATGAACATCTCCTCCATCGAATCAGAGCTGATCTGAACCTCTAAGTTTAGTTTCAGACTTTTATGAATCCACCCCTGAGCCAAACCGGACCCACATCTCCTCTAATTAAAGCTTTACTGTCTCACCTTCAGGAGCTGTCGGCTGGAGCGAAGGTCGTGACCTTTGGCGGCATTATTCAGCATCCACTGGATGGCCTCGATCTTCAGTTTGGCGTCCTGGAGGGAAAAACAGCCGAGGTAAAATCACAGACTCAGTTTTTTTGGTCACTGGTTCGTTTTCGTGGATTTTTGTTCTTTATTAACTTGATTGATTAATTAGAGAGAACAGATTTATCAGAATCAGAGACTCTAAACTGTCACCTTGTATATGAAACAGCAGATATGATGAATATGAATCTGTACATGATTTTAAATTACACTTAAATAAAAACTAAGTTCAAGAATCTGAGTCTTCCACAGTCAAACGGTTCATCATAACCCCGCTGGTCTTTCGTCTTTTCCTCTTCACCTCTGACTCTGTTTATCCTCCTCCTGTCAGCACCTCCTCCCTCCGTCTTTACCTGCAGCAGCTCCATCAGCTGCTCCTGCTGTCCCGCCTGTCTCATTTTGTCTCCTCTGTCGGCCATCTTGTCCTGAAGTCTCTTCCAGCGGCTGCTGACCTGAGTGGACTTCCTCCTGATGCTCTGACTGTTGTAGTGCTCCTCAGCCAGCATCTGCTCTCCCAGCTGAACACAAACAGAGGTGAGTGGAGATGCCGTTCACTGAGCTCAAACGTGGTCGCCATGGAAACCAGAGAGCAGCCGCATACCTGGAGTAGCCTGTCCAGCCGAACCTGGTTGGCCTGCATCTCCCTCTCAGCCGCTTCGTGTCTCTTCAGCTTCCCGAGGATGTTGGTGGGGTCTCGGTACGACTCGTCCTCCGCCACCTTAAACTTCTCCTCCATCCACAGCAGGAGCTCGTCTGAGTCTCTCTGGAACTCCTGAGGAACCAAACATCAGGGCGAGTGAGTGATCACTGTCCAGACACAAGAAGAATAAACTGATGACAGTAATAATAAAAATAAAACCTGATATGTCTTTGAGGCCAACAGCTGGTTCCTCCTCTGTCTGCTGCTCTCCTTCAGCTTCTTGTTGGCCTTCTGGATGCTCCTGCTCCTCTCCTTGATGCTTCAGGACAAACATGGAAAGACACGAGAACACAGGTGTCACTGAGAGTTAACTGTGAGAAAGAGACCTGCTTTTATTTTGAAAGTCTGCCTTCAAATCTATAAAATTACACCGATGTCTTTGTTCACAGGTTACTGAGGTCTAGAGTGATGCTGAAGCTTACAGAGAGATCTAGATTATGAAGAGCTGTGTGTAGATCTATGCTCAGATGTTTGTAATCCTCATGCACGGATTTTTAACGTGCACACGTGTTTATAAATCCAGTCAGTTTCATTGATCGATCACGTTGAACTGTCGTGTTTGAAAGTTGATGTTTCTGCGTCGTCTTACTGTTTGGCGGCGTAGTGCTGGTTGTTGATGAGCTCCTGACTGCGCTCGGTGAAGTTATTCACTCGTTGGTCCAGAGCTTTGAGGAGACCCTCCAGCTCCTCCTGTCGGCCCAGCAGACTGTGGACACTGTCCACCGAGTCCTGCAGAAACGACACACTTTAAACACTGAATCATCCGTCTGTGATATTTCCTCTCAGATGTGATTCAGGAAAACGGATCAGAGTGGAGCGTCCTCACCCCGACATCTTTGACCCTCAGTCGAGCTTCGTGCCCGGACAGTGTCGCCTCGATGCGGTCTCCTTCCTGGTTCAGCCTCTGGAGCTCCACCCCCTGCTCCAAGAGTTCCTTCCTACTGGTCCACATCTTGTCAAGCTTGGACCAATCAGCAGTGAGTTTGTCCAGGGTCTGTTGGATGTCGGCGGTCCCTGTTGACCCCCGCTGCAGAGATTTCCCAGATTTCTGCATCTCCTTCAGTCTGAGGAACCAAAGATTCAAAAAGAGACGATTTTAACTGAAGATTGTTGACGTGGAGAATTTTCTGAGGGTTAGAACAAAAACAACCGTCACCTCCTCCTCTGCTCCTCCATCTCCACACGGAGCTCCTGGTGTTGCTCCAGCAGAGCGACAGCCGAGGCTACATCGGTGGCCGTCTCCTCCTGCAGGAGTCGGTCCTGAACCGAGCTCGCCCAGCGCTGCAGCTCCTTCGCCTGCTGCTGGAAGATCTGCAGCCGGCGAGCCTCCTCCAGGAGCTGCTGTCTGTCCGCGGCCTGACCCTTCAGCTGGATCACAAACAGGGAGGAGTTAGACTTCAGAGCTCTTCACACTCAGAGCTACACCTCCTCTAGAACCTACTGGGTTTAACTCAAACCTGACGGAGAAGAGCCTCCAGGGCGTGGACCTCTTCTTCTATCGCTGCACTCTCTGCTGGACTGCAGTCCTGCTTCCTGTGGAGAAAAGGAAACAACATCATGACCTTCGAATCCCTGAACCTCACCAGAGAAGATCACTCAAACAGAAACATCTTCTCTCTGATTTTCCTTCAACTTTCTCCTGGACTTTAAATTAAACTAAATTAAAACACCGATGGAACTTTATCATCTAGATATCTTCAGGAAAACAACCGAACGTCTGCAGAGGACATGAAATACTGAGAAAATAAAGAATCACATCAAAATTTCAGGATTTTACTCTCAAACGTTCTCAAACTTTTACTCTTGTGGTCCCCGTATCAGTCCCGTACATTTTGGCGATGCTCTTCAGGTAGGCGATCTTGCCCTCCAGGATCTGGATGTCTCTGAGGGCCTGAGTCTGGTTCTCCTCCTCCTTCTGCAGGGTGAAGGAGCTGCAGCCCACGTCCACGGTGTGGAGCCGGTCCATCTGACCCTGCAGCTGGACTTTGGCCTCCTCGCAGCTCTGCAGGAACGTCTGAACGTCGGCTGTACTCAGCAGCTCGTGTCCTTTCTCGTCCTTCAGCTGCTGGATCCGGTCCCACCTGCAGACACCGGAGATCAGACTCACATCAGAACCAGGACCCGGATCTTCTGACCCGGTTCTATAATCCTGATGTGCAGGTTGTGAGTTTGTACCTGTTGGAAACTCTCTTCTGTCTGGCCTGAATCTCTCTCTGTTTACTGTGGCGACTCTTCACCAGCTCCTCCGCCATCCTGATGATGTCATCCAACCGGCCACGCCCACTCACCAACTCAGTCAGGAAGTTCTGAAATCAGACAGAAATCTGAATCGTAAATGTTCTTCTGATGTTTGTTTTACGGTTTGGGTCTGAGAAGTTTGGATACTTAAGCGACCAATCAGAGCGAGATATGTCACGGGGGCGTGTCTGTCAGTCTAACCCCCAATTTTCACCGTATCCGGAACAGCAGCGATGTTCGCCGTCCACCATCTGTTGGTGAGGCGAATTTTGTGGTGGATTACGGACAGCAGGAATCAGGAGAACTCACAAGAACCCGCAGATTAACGTTCAATCTCACGATAACGAGTTGTCTCTATAAAGACAGACACATAGACATATAAGCAGTAGATTGTGTCCTTCCAGAGGAGGAAATCTACTTCTAGACTTCTAGAATCAGACTGCCCTACTTCCTTTCCAGCACGCGTTAATCTGTGTTGAATTTATCCGCCATGCTCCGGCGTACGACAGAAAGAAGTCGGTGTAAATTGACACGTTAACTTGAATGGTTACGATCAGCTACGATCGGAGGATACGACCTTTTAGGAGACGATCAGGATGTGGTGGAAATTGGGGGTAAAGACTGAAAGAAGGATGCTCCTGTGTTTCCATGGTTACCGCTCCTTCTCCTTGCTTCAGTTTGAGAACTTTGAGAAGTTTCTGATCACGTCAGAATTAAGAGTTTGGGTTAGACGCTCAAACTCTGAAAAGTAAACATCTGCATCCAAACATCAATAAAGTTTTTTTTTTTTATAACCTTCATTAAAAGGTGACCTCTAATGTCACTAATGTGTCCCATATTTCCGATCTCCTCACCTCATATTTGGCCTGAACCACTCCCAGGTTGTCGGTGTCGGTGCTGAAGGTGTTCAGGATGTTCTCCTTGTCCTCCATCCACGACTCAAACTCCTGACAGCTGTTGTAGAATCGATGCAGACGCAGCGTCTCCTCCAGACTCCTCATCTTCGACTACAAACACAAAAAAAGATGAACTTCACTTTTTTAACTCAGAGAGACTCCATTTCCCATGCTGCCCCTCTCTCTCACCTTGACCAGGTTGTACAGGGAGCTGTAGTCCTGGTCCAGACCAGCCTGCGTGTTCTCCACAGTCTCTCTCTGGTACTGCGGGTCCGGCAGCCATGATGTCTGGATCTCAGTCGTGCTGCGACGCATCGAGCGGCTTCTCCTCGGACGACTCAGCTTTCTGGTCGAGCTCTCTGGAACGCCGTTGGTGGAGGCGGGTGGGGCAGGGGGCGGAGCCTGAGCAGAGAGAGGACATTTTTAATAACCTTAAAAACCTTCATGTTTGATTTCAGGCGTTATGAAGTCTGTAATCAGGGATCGAACCGAGGACGGCTGGATGTTCAGGTAGGTTCTGGGGATGATCTGCTGGTTTCCTCGGCTGTCTCGGGCCAGAACCCGGTCGTCATCCTGCTCAGAGCTGATGATGGTCACGATCTCGCCCCGGTCCCACTGAAACTGACCTGAAATACCACCGAAAACATGATCACTGATCCACTTTAACGCTCAGACAGCGGTGAGTCAGAGAAGTCCGGTCTACCTCGGCTGTATCTGAAGCGGACTTTCGCTTTGCTTTCCTCAGTCTGAGGGGCGGAGCTTCCAGAGACCCTCCCACCTCGGGGGCTGGGTTTAGGGGCTGATTTCACAGGTCCTGGCCCCGCCTCCTCCTCGTCAGATGAGTCGCTGTACTGGATCATGGGTTTCTGCTGAGGCTCCACCTGAACGAGAGGATTAACAGACCGTCAACCTCTTCTTCACACAGGAAGTACTGTGGCGTCGGACTCTGTACTCACAGTGAGAGCGGTCAGCTGTGCGGCGCTCCTCGCCTGCTCCGACAGCCTCTTAACCTCCGAACCGTAGGCCGCCATCTCCTTCTCCAGACGCTGGTGACGCTGCAGCAGAGCCGCCGTGCTCGCCTCATCCCTCCCGTGATCCTCGCTGGTCAGCAGCGGCTTCCTGTCGCCCAGCCAGGAGTCGGCCTCGGCTACGTCTGCAAAGTACTGAACAAGAGGAGAGCGGTCAGGAGAACCAGAACCAGAACCAGAACCAGAACCGGACCAAAGACAGCTGCTGATGAGAGTTGGGTTCATAAGGAGTTTTTTTCCTTGTTACCTGTTTGATGGCGGCGGCCGCCTGCAGTCTGTCGCGGCGTCCTACCGCCTCCTCACTCAGGTTGCTCCAGTGTTTCTTCAGGGTCTGGATCCACTTCTGGATGGCTTTCTGGTTCTGCTGGTTCTGTTTGGACAGCAGGTCCTGACCTCGACCCAGGACCCCCTGGTACAGCGTCTCCTGGGCCTGAAACTCGGCCTCCAGAACCTGAGAGGACGTTATCAGATCAGAAAACCCTTCAGCAGGTCTTTAAAGTCGGGATCCTTCTGATGATCTTCATGATCATAAAAATCCGAACCTTGTGTTTGTGCTGAGCCAGCTGGATGTGGTTCAGGTCTCGTCCGAGTCCGGCAGACTGGAGCTTTAACCAGCGTTCATAAAGCCACGCCTCCAACTCCTCACAGTCATGGAAGAACTCAAACAGCCTGAGCTGAGCCTCCAGCTGTCTCCTCCTGAAGGAGAGAAGGAAACAAAGAAGGAAACACAGAAGGAGACAGAAACTCGGTTAGAGGACAGACGAATCTGTAAATCAGGGATGGACAGTTTTATGTTGGAGGTCGTGAACTTCATGGACCTGCTGCTGCTGAGGGACACCAGAGATTTATACTGCGTGTCCAGAGCTCTCACTCTGCTCTGGATCTGCTGACCGTCTCTCACTCTGACCTGAGGAGGACACAAACAAAGATCAGAGCTGAAGACGTGAACTTCAGTGAACCGAGCCGTGGACCAGATCAGAGACGTACCTTCATCACTCTGCTGCTGATGCTGCTGATGGTTTCACCGTGAGTGGAGATCTGAGCCTCCAGGAGGTCCTGCTTCTGGAGGAGAGACTCCACCTCAGCCAGCTGTTTACCCACTTCAGAGGAGCCGGCCTGGGACTGGAGACACGGAGGACGGAGAAGGAGGAGGAGGAGAAGACGAGGAGAAAATGGAAGAAGGGGTTTTATTTTTGTTTTCTGCTCCTGCTGAAACTTTGACCTTCACTCACCTGCAGCTCCTTCAGTTCCTGGGAGACGAGCTCGATGTCTCGGAGGACGCTGAGATTCTCCACTACATTTCCCAGCAGCCCCCTCTGGTCCTGAAGCTGCTGCAGCAGGTCCTTCCAGCGATGGCTGATGTTCTCCTCTCTGATAAACACACACAGTTAGAGACCGGCCCGATGGTTATGATGTCACTAAAACGCGGCGTCTCTCTCACCTCCTGCTGATCTGCTCCTTGCTGTGGTAGTTCTCTCTCTCGATGGTCTCGGCCATGTCTCTCAGAGCGGCGAAGCGCGGCTCTCGGGCCAGAGCGTCAGTGGACAGAGCCTCCAGGCGCCGGCCGGCTGCCTGAGCGTCCTCCAGGGTGGACAGTCCTCGGATGTCCTGCCTGCGGATCAGACGCAGCGTGTCCTCCAGGTAACCTTCCCTCAGAGCCGCCTGGGAAACAGAAGAACCAGATCGAAGTTCAGGAGGTTCAGGGTGGTCTGAGGACCTCCAGAGTCTTTCTTACCTTTCTCTCAAACTTCTGGGCGAGCTGCTCCAGGTTCTCCAGGCGGAGCAGCGCCCCCTGCAGGGCTCGCTCCCGCTCGTGTTCAGCTCTCTCCAGTAGGACCCAGCTCCTCTCAATGTCACTCAGGGTTTTACCTTCAGAGACATTCAAACACGGCGGTGAGGGTCTGATCGTCTCCGTCACTCTGAGTCTGTTTCTTTGATAAACGTGTGAGTTTTACCCTCCGGAGGGTTGTACGCTCTCTGGTTGTTCGCTGCAAGCTGCGTCTTCAGACTGAACAGATGAGCTTCGATCGCTCCACGTTCCTGAAGACAGACGGACGAAGAAAATCCAGATTTTTAACAATTTAGGGAGAAAAGTGAAACAAACGCTCCCAGGCGCTGGGGCGGTGTGCAGCCGAGTGTGAAGCGGAGGTTTTCTAAAGGTGGTGATGTCGTCTGACCTGGTATTTAGGAGGCTTCTCCACCGTCCTGTAGGTCTTAAACGCCGTCATCAGCTTCTGCATCTCCCTCACAGAGTTGGGGAATCCTCGATCGTTCAGCTGCACCACCTTCAAACATCGTCGACAACAAGTTCAGCTCCACAAACCGCAGCTCTCATCGTTTCTCATATCAGAACAACGTAGGAGTTTATTTCTGTTACCTTTGTTTTGATCCAGTGGAGCAGATTCGAGACCATCCTCTCATACTGGACCTTCATGCCGTCCAGCTCCATCAGCATCCCGACGATCTGAGGAAAACACGGAGAGTTCATCTGCTGTTTCTAAAATCCCTCTGAGTCTAAAGTCCATGATGGAATTAATCAGGATATTTTAAAAGAGTTAAATCTTCGTCTCTGAAGATGAAGGATCATAAATCCCCCCAAAAAAGTGAAAGATGACTTTTATTTCTGTTTTTTATTCCCAACTAAATGTTTCTTTGACAAATTCTTCTTGATTTGGATCCAGCGAACCCTGGATGGATCTTTGAGGATCCTCAAAAAACACTTAAATAGGATTTTAAAACCACTTTCTATTAAGCTCAAAGTCGCTTCTCTTAAACCAGGGGCTGGACCGGCACAGGAGTCTAATTCTGGAGGGAGATCTTCCATTTGGACCACCACAGAACTGCCTCCAGAGTTGAATCCAGAATTAAAATGAACAATATTATAAAAAATCGTCTTCAAATTTGCTCCGGCGAGCTTTTCTTAAGTCTGTCAAATGAATGTGGATGTGAGGTTTATTATTCTGTCTGTTAAAAGTGAAATTAGAGAGCAGATTTTGTTTCATCTCTCCTCCGTCTTTGTCGGTGAGTCAAACTCTTAATTTCAGACCCTGTGAACGGTCAGAACCGGACAGGATCCTGCAGAGACTAACCTTGTGGCAGGATAAGGTGGTGGAGTCTCTCCTGTACTGCTTCTTCACCCACTGACCGCTCAGACTCCCTCCAACTGACATACTGTCAACTCTACACACACACACACACACACACACCTACAGCCTTACACACAGGTAAACACCTCAAACACAACCTGACAGCTCTCACCTGCTGAAGGTGAAGTCTGTTTAACTCCTGGTTCTAGACTTAAATATCGACCTGAATAAATCCTGACTCAAATCTAGGACCTCCAATTTATACCTGAACTTCTCAGTTTGATGATTGGATCACACCTTCAAACACCTGGACCACTTTATAAACTCCTGATCTCCAGTTAAAGTGTGAAACATCTTCACTGAACCACCTGAGACACACCTGATGAAGCACTAACACACACACACACACGTCTGTTTTATGAGATTCAACAGACACCATAATTACCATGACAACAGCAGATATGAAACACACCTGAGTTACCTGAAAAAGACCTGAGCCCCAACACTGGAGCTGTCTACACCTCTACATACACACAGTGAACCTGTGACACACCTGGATCTACCTGGTTCAGGTTTACAGTCATTATGTGACTCCAGGTAAATCACTGAAGGTGGACACACCTGGATCACCTGCTACAAACTCACAAACTGACGTCATTTCTGAAAGATAATAAACCATCACAGCATGAAGACGTCAGTAAACTCAAGAGAAGCATCTGTACTCTTTTATAATCATCATAAATCAACAATGAAGCTTCTCCTCAGCTCTCCAAACCAACAGAGATACCTGACAGCACTAACAGCGCCTCCACACAACAACAAAACGATCATATTCCTCTTAAATCTTCAGACAAATCTTCAGTTTAGTCTCCGCTGAGCTGAAACAGAGCGAACCCTGAGCCTCCCCTTCATCCGTTCTCTCTGTGCAGGTGTAAACAGCAGGTCCAGGTGTGTCGCTTCATGTTAGCTCAGTAGCTCTGTGAATGACTCCTCTGAACGCTCTCACTGTGATCTGCTCTGATTAGCTTAGAGTCTGCAGCCACGCCCACTTCAGCCACGCCAGGCTGGACTGTCTCTACACCCGCTGATGACGGGAACATCACCTACAGTCCTTTAAAGTTTCATAATTATTATTAAACCCTGCAGAATTATCTTCATATGATTAATAACAGCTCATTTTAAACTTATCAAGTATTTTAGTTTATCCATGATCAGATTACTACAGCTTTGTAGTTGTTGCATCTCCCTCAGAGTCTCCCTAACATGAACATTAAACCTCTGAACGGCTCTGTTTTCATGTTATCTGCTGAGGTATACTGATATAATGTGAGTGTGTGTGTCAGCGGGGGGCGTCCTGTCCTGTCCTGTCCTGTCCTGTCAGTCCCCAGTCTAATCCAGCAGTAATCCACACTGACTGACAGGCAGGAGGCGGGACCTCAGGGATTAGCATCAGTCACCATGAGAGAGTGAGAGCCAATCAGAGGGACAGGAAGTGAAAGCACCTGTAGGTGTTTGTTTTAGTGGTTAACAAACTAACATATATGAGCGAGGTTTCAGGGAGGACTGAGCTGTTCCTCTGTTACTGAGAGAAAAACTGATGTTTGGTTTCTGCTTTAGAGACATCAGACCGACGTATTCATGGACTCATTATAATTATGATTACATTAAAAAAACAGATTTTTAGGAGGAAACCAAGCCTAGAAGTTTGTTTGTTTCTTGTGAAAACAGCCGGTGTTTGCAGACAGACCTCCTGTATTTTAAACAGACAGCAGCTGCAGTTCCTTCAGTGGCCAGCAGATGGAGGTGAAGACCATAATGTGGATTTTCTGTGTGCTTTTCTGTTTCACCACTTGAATAAAACTAAAGACAGTTTACATTAAAAGTCATTTTGTTAGGATATCTTCATACAAATCAAAATTATCTTTCTAAACCGCTGAGATGATTTCAGGACGAGCTCAGGGTCACCAGTCCTCTGAGGAAACCATGAAAAAGAACCTCGATAATAGAAGTAGACTTATTAATATTAATGGACTGGAAATGTTCACTTTGAGGTTAAGATGAGGAGCTGTTGTGTTAAATGAAGGCAGACTGAGAAGGTTCTCATGTAAACCTTTAAATCTGAATTATCTCTCATGTCACGTCTCTGATTACAGATCCTAAAAGTCATGATTCATATGTTTACCTCACAGGCTAATAGGTTTGATCGCTCATTAGCTTCGTTAAAACACTCTTTTCTTAATTCGTCTGATCGCTCTCATGAATAACTCCTCCTCCTCCTTTAGTGTCCCTGCAGCCTGAACTTTAACCTGTGCGTATAAAATGCCCTATAATGTGAGTCAGTGTCTCAGTGCTGCCCCCCGGTGGCGGTTCAGACCTTGGCGAGCCTCTTCTGGATGGTCTGTCCCTGCTTCATCTTGGAGAAGTAGTGGTAGTACAGAGACACGTAGGTCATGATGGACTTCTCGTCAGGGTGAGGGACCACCATGTCGTCCACCTCCAGCAACTGCATGATACCGAACTCCCGCTCCGCCAGAGAGAAGGCGTGCTCCAGGTTACGAGAGGGGTCGTCGCCATGGAAACGCCGATAGTCAAACAGGTCAGGCCTGAAGGGAAGAATGATGGAAAGTTAGTCTGTGTCTGTGTATGTGTGTCTAAGTGTGTCTGTGTATGTGTGTCTAAGTGAGTGTGTGTTACCTGTGAGCGTGGATAAGAGCGTTGAAGGCGAGTCCGCTCCTCCAACTCGATGAAAAGTCCTGAACATCAACGCCATCGTAACCTGAAGTCTTCCTCTGACACCAGATCAGCAGAGCCTCCTTCGCCGAGCGGTGAGCCACGCTACCTCCACCGCCCGCCTAAAAGAGAGCGAGAAAAAGAGGAGGAATCGTCCGTGAAAAAAGAGAGAAGTTCTGAGGAGGGTCTGGATGATCTTTAGTGAAATCAAACGTGGAGTAAACACAGATGGGTCGAGTCCAAACCTCGCCGTCCAGGTTTATCGGTCCGATCTGGAACCTGAGGATGATGATCCACAGCAGACCCAGGATCAGTGTGCGGTCTCCGTCCACCACGTTCTCTGGACCAATCAGATCAACCCGAATCTGACGGGAAAGACAGTGAGGAGTCTGAGTCATGATGTGAACTTACAGGACCACATAGAAAACACATTATTTCTTATTTATTAGCCGATAGAGATCTGACAGAAGATCTCTGACATCTGAGGTCCATCTGTCAGCCTCTTCAGTCTTTAGACTTTAAATATCAGGGGTGATGTTTTTGAGTTCCTTCAGAGACAGTGAAGGACTGATGGTTGTTTTCTGATGACTTTTTCCATCTGAATAAACAAAGTAGCAGCGGCCCAGCGTGTTGAATTTTCTCTTTATGTGCCGACAGTCATTAGGCGGTCACTATCTCAGGTCTCGACACTCTAAATGATACCGACAGGTGGATTACCTTTGTGTGTTTTTATTGTTTTATAGACCTTGAACGACGCGGAAAGGTGTGAATAGTCTGAATCTTTCAGGCCGACTGAGTTCAGCTGAATTTAACTTAGTTTGTAGACTCTAAATGAATTTTCTCACTTTAACGACTTGAACAGGTTAGTTTGTTGTATTTTTACACTCGGCATGACTTGGACAGCTGACTCCTGCGGGTTTTTAACTCTAAATCATTTGAACCACTGAAGCACCTTAGGCAGAATAGTTTATAGACCTCTGAATGAATGAGTTACTAAACTTCAGACTCTAATCAACATGTGCAGGTGAGTCACCTTGGTTTGAGCTGCAGTGTTTCACATAAACTCTGACTGACTTGTTCAGGTCAGTTTCACTGGTTTTGGATCCCAGATGACTTGGACAGGTAAGTTACAGGTTAGTTTTAAACTACATACGTTGAACAGGTGAGTTACCTTGGTCTTGAGGAAGCTGATGGCGATGCTGTTGTTCTCCAGACAGTGGACCCTCAGTTTTCGGCGGCTCGGCGTTGGCAGCGTTTCTCTGGAGATGAGCTCCAGCAGACGGATCAGAGCGAGGCCGGTCTTCAGCTCGGTGTAAACGTCAGTCAGCTCGATCCGCTCCTGCAGGAAGTAAAAGATGGTTAAAGACTAAACTTTTCCTTTTATTTACAGTTAAAACCCTAAACTCTTATTGTCCCCACAGATCTAAAACAAAAGACTTTCTACAAAAACACGCTGGTACAAAGGCACATAAATATTTTTATAGAGATGTTTAGGTACTAAAACAAATGATGAGAGTACATCTTGCTCTTCTACATGTTATATAATGTGCGCTGCAAACAGAGCTGTATACAGAGAACTCTGAGTGAACTTTGCTCCGTGTGGTGGGAAGTTCAATGTTAAAAAAGCTAATTTCTCATCAATCATCCTCAGAGCTGAGAGCTTCTTCCCCCTGAAGTGTTTGTTATATAACGTCTGTGTCCACTCTGCTGCAGGACATCCTGCTTATCTGCAGGTCAGGTAACATCCAGCTACCCCATCAAGTGGAGACATTCTTAGAAACAAGACAAGCACCATCCAAATGTATATTTAGGAGTGTTTTGACTTCATAACACACATCACTCATGAGACCAAGTGTCTCCCCTGACCAAGCCCAACGACGCCCAACATGACGTTCTTCCTGAACTCAACTTCTCCTTCCCCAGATTCAAAGTTTGTGTCTTTTTTCCTCTGGGAAACTGAATACTGAGAGAGACAAAACAAGAACACCCTGACTCATATTCTTCAGCGTTTTATATAATCGAACACCGAGCCGTCACCATGTAAAATACGAGCAAAAACAGATTTGGATGGTTATAAAGCTCTCAAAGTTTGTTGACAATAATCAAATATAATTCTCCCCTACTTTGTTATTATTACAAAAACATCAAACTAGAACAATCAAAGAAAATAACCAAAATCTCATTTTTTATTTAACTAATCTAAAACTGTTGTGAAGCTTTTAATCTCATTTTAAATTTAAAGATTTTGGACTACAGTAATTTAGTTAAAACTTCTGTTAAAAGCCGTCTTTGGGTTTAACACTGCCCTGTATATTGATAATGCTATTGACATTGATATTGATAATCCTTGCTTGATAATGTGTTAAAAGGGAAGCCGTTACCAAAGTAGATTACACCTGTTTGATTCCTCTTTACCAAAGAGATAACACACTAACCCCGAGTTTATCACATCTACTACAAAATATGAGATAACATTAAATTAGCCATAAAAGACTGAGATAACTATGAAAATATACTACTACTCTTATCTACTATGCAAATGTATTACATGCAACTGGATTTATACTGAGCTAATTTACTCATAGTTGAGTGGTTAGAAATATGGTACAACATACTTTCTTCTAACTCAAACATACTTAAAATAAATGAATAATAACATGTAAACCTACACAAAAAAAACCTAAACCTTGACTGATGTAAATATGGGTGTAAAATAGTCACCTTATATTTAAATCAAGCTAATTTGAGTAAATAGCTTAACTTTGATATTCTATGTGCTTTTCTTTAACTAAAAAAATAAATAAATTAGTTTGAGTTCCTGTCGGTTAATGTTATCTAACAAGAGGTGATAAATGTTACCTTAATAACCTAACCAAACATTTAAAAGCTAACAGTCTTCAAGATGTCAGACTCAAACTTATTTTCATCAAAAATGAAATCATTTTAAACCAGTTTATAAATACTATCACCAAAATAACATTTAGCTTTTTAAAAGGATCACACCCTGTCCAGACAAAGACAATCTGCTTCGGTTAGCTGAACACTTGGAAAAGTCATAAAACTACACAGTTAACCGACTAATAATCAGAAATATCGGTCACCGAAACACTTTAAACACCGAGTAACAACAAAACAAATAAAAAATACACTCACACTCACTCAGGCGGCTCACAGGTTGGATAAAGTTGGTTTCCGATTGTGTACAGTAACAGAAAAAGTGATTTATTCCTCCATAAAGGTGTAACTTTAACCGGCTTCATGTACAGGTACAATAAGGGCGGGAAAACTTCTTTTTCCACTGTAATGGCGGACAGCGACCAGCGGTTGTAAAACATTATCGCCATCCACAGATTTCGGTAGTCAGGGGGACAGTGAGCACTTTTCTCAAAATATTAACAAATAAAGTACTATATTATGTTTTATTGATAATATTTAGAGAGGGAGTAAAAGGTAAATTGTCCGAACGTATCCACACTTTCAACTAACTCAAACAGTGACTTCTTCTTTAGCCCTGATTCCTGTGGAGTTGGTCAGCCACCTTCTCAGTGCTGCCACTGGTGGCCGGAGTATGTATTACATAAATGAAGTATTACTCCGAAGTGGACAGTAAAGTGAGTGTTGATCCCTTCACTGTCACTTCAGTATCATTCTGTGCTGTACGAAATATTCCAAGCTGGTGATTATTTTTAACAATAGGACCATTTAAAAAGTTGTTTAATAAAGAAGTTTAAACTATACCTGAGATTCTCATGCCTAACAATGTTAATCAGAATCAGAAATACCTTAATAATCCCCAGTGGGGAATTTGATGTCATCTAAAGACACTGTAACTGGATTAAAACATGTGTTGGTGCAGATAACATGGCCTCAGTGAGACAAACCGCTCTAGATTCCCTCTGCAGGATGAGCGTTTACAATAAACATGTGTTACAGCTTTGCAGCTTTACTCCTCCATGCTGCCATCCTGCAGAAAGCCCAGAGGAATTCTGGGAATGAACAGCAGCAGCGTGTCCAGCCAGCAGCTTCATCAGTCATCCAGTTATCAGAAAAAAGACGTGAAATCAAACCCAGACCTACGAGAACCTGCTGGACTCTGACAGAACATGAGGCAGAGCTGCTCTGATATTTATACCCTGTGTGTGTGTTTCTGTGTGTGTTATCACGACCTGATGATTAATGTGTGTTTTGAAGTGTGTCAGCAGCTGGTGGACTGCAGGTTATCAGGCAGAAACGTGACTGATAACAGAGGGAATAACACCAACTTCATCACGGCAGGCGTCACACTTTCTCATATTTCTGAGAGTTTTAAACACTGACAGAAAACAAAAACAGTGTGATAATGAACGTTTGGTGAAGATATTATTCAGATCCTTTAGTATCATTATCATTAACAAACTTAATATACTCTGCATTTACGAGTTCGACCTCAAAAACTTTTGATAAAGGAGAGGGGAAAAAAATCAAAAATAAAATAAACAAAAAAATTAAAAAATAATAATTAAAAAAAAATTAAATTAAATAAATAAATTCAAAAAAGCAAAAAATAAAAAAGGACATACTTCTTATATTTTATTTCATTTTGTGTTTTTTGCTGCTGTAACATGAGAATTTCCCAGCTTGGGATCAATAAAGTATATCTATCTATCTATCTAAAATGGCCAAATTTGTGCAGAATCTACGTCTGATGAGCAGTTCTTTCAGCAGAGAAAAGTGCTGAGTCTGTGTTTCCTTTATCAAAGTTGGTTACAGTCATCAGGACACTAGAGAAGCTGCCTGCATGTGTCTACAGACTCAACAACAAACACAGACAGACAAAGAGCCGGCATGGAAACGCTGCAGGACTGAACACCCTGTCCTAAAGTTCAACACCAGAGAAGAAGAGCTCTGTTACTCTGATTCAGGGTTTTTTGAAGGTGTGGTGTGTCCTGCACTAATAAATGATTGTTATTCTGATAAAATCTGAGGATCAGCTTTCATGCAGGCTGTAGCGACCGGTGATCTAATTTGCAACCTTCTCCGTCATCTATCCTCCTCTTCTCCTCCGGTCTCACCCCGTTTTTGTAAAAGACGCTGTTCATCCACTTGGTGAAGGTTTTCTTCTGAACCGCCATCCTCTGCTCCTGCAGCTCCCTGACCCTGCCGGCCCCGTCCTCCTCGGCCTCCATCCTGAAAAACACAAAGAGGAGGAGGAGGAGGAGTGTCAAACATCAGTGTCAGTGTGAGATATTTAAGTAAGGACGCAGACTGATATTAAACTTCTGTTTGACTCATGTTGGTTAAAAGTTAAGTGATTTTTCGGTCAAAGTTCATGAAACCAAATAAACATCAGGATATAAAGAGACTCATTTGCGTGTTTTTATTTTTACCTCCAAATGTTTTTTATCTTGCAGTGATTTTTTTATTGCAGCACCTTTCTACAGATCAAACATTTTTAATGTTCTATGAAATTCTGCTGCAGATTCTCCTGAACTCTTTCTCTGATTGGCTCAGATGTGAGACCTCAACCAATCAGAGCTCTCCATGTGTACAGAGGTGATGATGGTGAACAGTAAAAGAAGATGTACTTAATCTGAAGAAAAGCAGCGAAACTTCAGGAGAAATTGACAGTCAATCAAAAAAGGTATCAGCAGGTAAAGGTCGAGTTTATGTCAAACAGTATGTATAATAATAATAATAATAATAATAAAAACAACAATAATAATAATGATAATAATAATAAAAACAACAATAATAATGATAATAATAATAATAATAACAATAATAATAATAATAACAATAATAATAATAATAATAACAATAACCATAATAATAATATAATAATGATAATAATAATAATATTAATAATAATAATGATAATGATAATGATAATAATAATAAAAATAATAATAACAATAATAATAATAATAATGATAATAATAATGATAATGATAATGATAATAATAATAATAATAATAATAATAACAATAATAATAATAATAATGATAATAATAATAATAATAATAATAATAATAATAATAATAATGATAATAATAATAATAATAATAATAATGATAATAATAATGATAATGATAATAATAATAATAATAATAATAATAATAATAATAATAATAATAATAATAATAATAATAATAATAATAATAATAATAATAATAATAATAATAATAATAATAATAATAATAATAATAATAATAATAATAATAATAATAATAAGTCTTTTCAGTCCATCACTTTGACATTTTCCGGTTGAATTTGCAGAAATCTCTTCTTCATTTTCGCAGAGATTCAAAGTCCAAAGTCATCAGCTCCGTCTCTCACTGAGTCGACGTTAAACTCCGTCTTTATGCTGACAGGAAAAGTCTCACCTTCAGTCAAACACTGCTGTAAAAATTCCTCTCCTGTCATAATCTGAGTGCAGTTCCTCCATATTTCTGTCTGCTGACGTCTCTGTGTGAGAATCAGGGTTTTACTGCAGAACGACTGAAATTCCAGGAGTGAGAGTCAGTACATGTCTGAGAAGTAGATTTGACTCTGAGTTTCTCCTTTTATTGAGAATTGGTGTCAGTGGACCACCTGAATAAGAGCTGGTCTATCAAAGGTTTGACCTGAGAGTAAATCCATGATCATCTGTCAAACAGTCAGTCCTTCACTAATATCTCTCAGGCTGGACTATGACTATAATTCTTCACAGGAGGTGAAGCTGAGCTGCTGTCGCTTCATCCTCTCACATCAGTGAACTTTAGTTAACTCCACTGTCTACCACAGTATGAACACTTTAAACGGATGTTCTACATCCTCCTGCAGCTTCCATACATCAGCTCATGAGCAGGAAACAGAAATGCAGAGTCACACGGGACAAAAATAACCTAAAGACAATGAATCCTTCAGAGATACGAACGTGTGCGAGGAGAAAAAACCAGAGGAAACACACAGACCCACGTGAAGAAGAAGAAGAAGACATCCAGATATCTGGTTTTACCTTCCTCTTTTCTTTATTGTCCTTCTTCAGCTGCAGAATCTGAGACAGAGTGAGAGATCCAAAGACGGGTAAATAAAGTCCACCTGTGATCAAACAAACAAACTGAACTGAACTGAGCGTCTCTGTGAAGACGAGTTTTCATGTGATGAGAGAGTCTGAGCGTGAACTTTGAAGCCATTGGATTTACAGCATGAGCAGCTCTGCTCACCTGACTGCAGGTGCAGGGGTCAAAGTTCACACACACACACACACACACACACACACTCACACTCACAGTCAGCGAAATTAGCTAATTTAGAGGGTTAGACGTATGTCATTTGTGAGCGTTGAGTTCACCTGCTGTGGGAAATTTCAGCAGGATTTTTACAGACTTCAAAGATTCATTTGTATAAATCAGGGACACGGTGGACAAACGAACTCTGTGTACATGCACTAACGAAGACATGCACCCCAGTCACATGACAATCCATGATGTATTCAGTATTTATTTAAACAGGAAGGTTAAACACGAGTGAAAACAAAGCTGCAGGAGAGGAGAGGAAAGAGGAAACAGTTCAAGATACAATAAAAACAAAGACAAGTGTGTGTCTGTGTGTGTGTGTGTTTCCTGTCCACACTCTAACGACACACGTCCATCCTCCGTCCCTCCAACACCATCTGACCACGGCTCAGCGGAGGACGGGACGTTACGCAACAAACAACCTCACAGGAGACGCTCTTTTCCCTGGAACAGAACTCCAGTTTTTATCCCTAAATAAACCCGTGAAGGTTTTTTCAAAATATCTGCTTTAAGAGTTTTATTTTCCAACTGAAATATAACAAGAGTTTGCAGCGATGAACATGTTGAATTAACTTTATTTGTCTCCATCTTTGATGACAGAACAGAAACAGAGTAACAGGCGTCGACACATTAAACAGAATAAAAAACACGTCAAAATCAAAACAATAAAAACTTTGACATTCAGATAAATGAAGATTTAATTAAAACTTTTTCATTTAATGTACAGGCAGACGAAGAGAGAGACGTCTTTACACTTAGAAAACACTCAGAACTGACATTTCCCACTCTGCCGAGGTTCCTGAACGCATCAGTCACAGAAAAATAAAGATCTTCCCTTATTTATGTTGAGACCATGGACTGTATCGAGAATAGACGCCGTCTGACTCCTCGCTGGGTGAGAACAGCGCCCTCTGGTGACGGGCTGCAGTGTAGGTCATAAGCCCCGCCTCCTCCATCAAACTTTATAAATGAATGACACAGAATATAAATGTTTCTCCCTCCTGGTTGTGATGTTGACATGTAGTTACTGTCAGACTGGTTTGTGCTCAAGTCCTCTTTTTTCTGTACAGCTCCATTTTTAAAAGTTATTAGGGGGTTCATGTTTTCTATGATTGACACCTGATACAGCCTATGGGAGGACAGAGATTGCACATACTTTATTTGAGCTGAGCATCATCACAGTGACTCTCCCACCAAATGTGTACAACGTTACTGCACAATGCTGGCTTCAGGAAAGGGAGAAAAATCGTGGAAATAATTTGAGTAATTTCGGCTTCACATTCGTACAATGACGGGAGGCGGAGCCCGTAGTAAATACAGTCTATGGTTGAGATGAATGACACGCAGAGTTGGACCAGAAAACTTCAGTTTCATCTTTTAATGATATATCTGTCTGTTTTTTTAGTTTTTGCAGTTTTAAAGGCACTGAGTAGAAGCGGCCCGGCTGTTAGCTCCTCAAGTCCAAAAACCGTCATCGGAGCAGAAGGCGGCGCAAACACGGTTATTTTAGGCTAAAAAGGCACGACAAGTTTCTACGAGAGTCAAGCTAAATAAGCTCGAAATAAAACAGGCACTGACAGAGGAAAACCTAGCTAAACACAGTCAGAAGCTAACGTTAGCATTAGCATCTTTGGTTTTAGCGCTGAGGTCATGTTAAATTTATATCTGCATGAGCTGGAGATGGTTTAGTGACTTTAGTTCGTCACACAGATAAAGACGAAGGAGGGGAAATTATGAGGAGGAGAGCAGAGATGGTGTGATGCTAGCTCCTGTAGGTGATATTCTTTTCATAGAATGGCAGGGGAAGGTCCCGCCTCCTTCTTCTCTGATTGGCTGTAAGTGTAACGTCATCGTCTGTAATGTTCTTAATGTTCTGTTCGATGTACAGAGCCAACAGCCCGCACTCAGCTAGAGCGTGTGATGACGTTTCACAGCCATAAGGAATAACCAATCAGGGCCCAGCTTTTCTAGCCAATCAGAGGCAAAGGAGGCGGGACCTTCCCCTACAATCGTACAAAGAAAGATATCACCTCCTGTAGCTACAGCAAGTATCTTGACTGAAGTTTGTGTTCACTGAGAGTTAATCAGGTAATAGTAAAACTTTTTATTTTGCGCACAAGATACAACTTTGTTCAAACAAGATATGAACTCGTGCTCACGAGGAAATAACCTGTTTGAACAAAATAAAGATATTCTGGGAAAAGATGTCCCAACAAGATCACTCTGCTGTACACTCTCTCAAGGTTATCTGCTCGCTTCTATAAGATATCTAAATGTGCGCTCAAGATAAATCTTGTTCCCATGAGTCAAATAGGATAATCGGGTTTTAGTCGCACAAGATGATTGAGTTTTTCCCTAAAAGAAATGACTGTTGTGAAGATGAGGTAATAATATCTTGTTGCTCAGCGGATATCATGTCTGATAATTATCTTGATAAATATCTTCATTATCTGACATGGAAACATGATCCTGCTGAATGACTTTAGCGAACAGGATCGTGTCTCCCTGATCAGATAATTGATCTAATTTCGCTGTTTCTGATTGGTCGACTGTCCTCACACTCAGGATTTAGTTCTGGTTCAGATTTTCAGAGTTCGGATCATGTTGGAGAGACGCTCTCTCGCTGTAACCTCCGTCACTAAAACAAAGACGGGTCTGTTAGGGGGGGAAAGTGTGCAGTCAGCAGGGTCAAAGGTCACCGCCTCTCCTCTGTTTACAATGTGAGGAAACTGAGGCGAACAGACACTGACTGACCGTTCGAACAGCTTTCAGGACGTCGCCCATCCCCGAGGACGCGTTAACGCCGAGCTGCAGCAGCAGCAGCGGCGGCGGTGGAGCCGGCGGTCATTTCCACTGTCATCTCCTCCTGACTGAGGCTGTTCAAACAGGACAGACACTGACCTTTGACCTCGGGACAAAAACCTCTTCCTGGTTTTAACACTCAAAGTAATCCGTCTAAATCTGAGGTGACCGCAGTGAAGGTTTTTGGGGCTCCTGGTGGTCGACCGCTGCATGGACGGGTTTGTCCTGATTAATTCATGAACTCCAGATAATTAACTGATGAAGGCAGAGGTAGAGCAACAACTCCTGTGAAGAGGAAAGGCTGGTTCTTCTTAAACTTTGACTAATCTGGAGACTCTGAGTTTGTCCGGAGTGAAACTTCAGGAGTGTTAAAGTCAACATGAAGGCGATCGTTGCTTCAATATTTTCATACACAGATCAGTAACACAGTAAAGGAGATAAGCTGGTTAAATATCAGGATATTTGATCTAAATCGTCGTCCTCTTTCAAAATTAAAGTCTTTCAATCAGAAAATAGGAAGTTAAATTTCTTCTTTGGTGATTTTTAGATCAGCTGAGTAAAATATTTGAGTGTCGATTAAAAATCTTTCAAAAATAAAGCAGGTTATCTTGACTTCCCTTCAGTCAGTGTGTTTACAGTCTGCTGCCCGGTGACGGTTGGTGGATTTTTTACATTTGGACTTCCTCTCAGCTCTAGTCCTCGCTGTGGTTATACAGGGTCTCAGCCGTGAGGTTTTTGCGGTGGGATGGCGGCACGAGGTGGTCGGGCAGGTCGGTGGGCAGCTCGTATCCCTCCAGTTTGATCTTGATGAGGTGCTGGGCGAGGGCGAACTCCTCGTCGTCCAGCATGCCGTCTTTGTCGCAGTCCGCCAGCTTCCAGATCTTTCCGAGGACCGTGTTGGGCAGCCGCGAGTTCATCATCTCCTTCTTGGCGTTCACCCCGG